CATTTAATGAGAAAAACCCACCCCTTCCCGCTAGACCGAACACACAGGCAGGGCTGGCTTTGGTAAACTAAAATATTAGAGTCGTAAACCAGACAATCTTCCATTATTATTGCCTACAGAATAAAATATTTGGTCCCTACGTCGATGAAACAATTAGGCCAATGTATGACATTCAGGGAAGATGATGCTACAGTTACTATACCTGTTGGAACTCGGAACAACTTAATTTTTAATGTTGAGTTGGGGTTTTGTTAATGGGAACAAGCAACGAGTAAAGAGTTTTGCTAAATAGTATTTTTAGAACATTCTTTGATTAAAGTTATTATAGAAAATAGTTTTTTCTTAATGTATTAAAAATCAATATAAAGATTAAGAAAGAATTTTGTATTTATGTGTTATAGCAAATTAAAAAGAAAATACTGCTTAAATCACATATATATTTAAATATTACATTAACTAGTGCATTTGCATTTCCTTATTATAAAAAATATTAATTTTCAATCTACGATTTTTTTTATAAAAAAAATAAAAATTTCAAGTTATGCACTTCAATCAATGAATTATTAAAAAAAAAAGGTCACGGGTTAGTCACATTTTATCCATGTTTCTAAATAGTATGTTGTTTGATTGGGCTCTGTTTTGTTTAAAGATTACTGTTGACGTTTGGGATAGGATGAAATTGAGGGTCATTGCCCCTTCCTAAAAGTAATTAATGGCTAGGGCATGCATGTGACATGATTATTTGAAAAGAAAGGACTGGCCTTGGACGTGCATGACCTATCTTTTCATTTAATTCTTAATGCAAAAAAAAAATATATAATTTTTAATATAATTTAAATCCTTTTTATTTTATATTTATTTAATTAAAAATTTTTAATATCATATAAATTAATTTAAAAATTAACCAATATTAAATTAAAAGTAACCAAAGGTTTTTGAACTTTGAATTAAATAAAGCACCATTAATGTGGGAATAGTAAACAATCAATCAAATCGCCTAGAAGTCAGTGAGAAATCGCTCTTTTAAATCAACGTTTTAAATAAAAGTAAGATTGTGCAATGTCCGTAGATCCACCGCATAATTTCATATTTGTCGCCAACTTTAGATCTTCCTACCACTAAAGAAGATCAGAAATATAATGGAGTTGCCTAATATTTTGTAAATGGAGTAATATAATTTATTTTTAGCTTTATTTTTCACAATTTTAACTTATAAATTTATTTAAGTTTTTAATTTGTAATAAATTTGACTTATAACAAAGTTTTTAATTTTATTTTGTTGTAATTAACGTACAAGTTTGCGTCAAAATCCCAAAATTAGGAGGGAAAAACATTTTTTTTTCAAAACAAAAAATACTAAATACTTATCTTTTATAACTTGTTTTGCAACATAAATTAAAGTTTATAAACTATCAACGTCCACGTTTTGTAACTTCACTTTTTACAAGTATAGAATTTCATCTTCAAATAAAAGTAAAAGTGATTGGATCATCGAAGAAGAAATTCCTAAAGTTGTCCACAACAAAACAAAACATAGTTCACTTTTTTTAAAATATATAAAGATTAAAGAGTAAATTAAGACCCGTTACAACATTCTAAAAAAAAAGCTTAAAGACGTTTTTATTTTCGTTAATCGAGGAAATTATTTTTGTCTTTTATACTCATTTATGCATTTTTTTTTCATAGTACAAGACAAAAATATAAATTCTACATTTTTAGACGTTAATATAATATAAATTGAGTTATTACAGAACAAAACAAACGTAATCACAATAAAACATTAATAATCAAAATATTTAGCAGGTTCCAATGACGAACAAACAAACAAACAAACAAAAATGGTTTGGGAGACAAGATCCGTGAAGCGTGGCACAAACACCACGTCAGCAGCTTCAGGAAACGACGGCGTTTGGTCTTGGAAATTATTATCTCAAATTTAACACTAACGGCTACTAAATTAAGTGGACCTCGGGGGAGTTGTCGACGGTAACGTGCGCCGGTGGGAAACGGAAATACTTTAGGCATTGGGAAGTGGACTGACGGTGACAGGTGAAGTTTGACGGAGATGCAAAACGGCGAGTGGGTCCCACGGGAGGGGGTGAACTCTGGTCTGGCCTGGTGTGTGGTTGGACATGTGGCTTGGACTGGATTACTTTGAATTCACGTTTCTGCATTTAATGAGAGGAAAGTCAAAAAATTGAAGGTTGCTTCTAAACACTTTCTTTTTCTTTTTTTTAATTTAAATTTTATTCACTTTGAACTTTTGAATTTGTAAATTTGATAATTTTTAAAAATTTTTGGATCATATGTCTGAAATTTTTTAAATTAAAAAAATTTAAATATTCACATACATAAAATTTTTTATTAATTTATAAATAAATTTATAATTATTTAAAATAAATAATATTTTTTATAATATTATAAAAATTTTGTAAGATGTAAGATTTTATTTTTTCAATTGATTTTTTAAATCTAAAATATAATATATCTTATATAAAAATTTATATAATTTATTGAATATCAGATAAATTATATAATATCAAATTTTTATATTTAATAAATTAATACTTAAAATAATTTTTAAAAATGGTTATAAAAAGAAAAAAAAACAAAGGGTGTGCATAAAAGCACCAAATTGACGAAGCGAGGGCAAGGGAGGTCGAGGAGGTGAGAAAACAGAAAGGGGCATACATTTGTCGATAATTTACCAAAATGGGATTTCCTTCTTTTTCGTCTTTAAAAAAATTGGAACCGTCGGATTAAACGTATCAAAGAATTACACGTGGCGAATAAGATGCTGAATGCACAATCACTATTGGGCGGTGTGCAAACTCTGAAGTTTTCTCCTATCAAATCTAGCATTGGTTTTAGATTTTGTTGCTTTTAACTTTTTTTTTTTAATCTATTTAAATGGTTTTGCTAACGAGCGTTGTTAAGAAAATTTTAATATTAATTTATAACAATTCTATATACAAGTTAAGAGTGCTTATCTTTATCATATATAAATTGCGTATAAAAATTAAGACCAAATAAATACTTATCATAATGAAAGAGAATGTAGAAGTTTTCATGTTTTAAATACGGAAAACGTTTTTTTGGAATATTAAAAATACAAATGCAGAGCTTCACGTATTATTAAATGGACAATGTGATGTTTGTAAATCTTTAATTTGTCGTGGGGACTTCAATTTGATGGCTGACTTGCCATGGTTCAGGATGGGAATAGACAGACTATATAAATTCTTTGTGAATTGATTTGACAAGTAATTTAGCATCCAGTGAGATTTAAATATCCATATTTATTATTGCATTTATGTATGTATTAACTATATTACGTAAATGATTTTTTTAATTTATTTTTCATCATTAATTTGCATAGATCTTCTTCGTCAGTGTATGTAATTTTTTAATTAATTTATATATATTTATTTTTAAAAATTATATCTAATAAATTTGATATTTAATATTTATAATTAAATTTCTTTGTATTTTTTTTCTAATTTTTATATCCGGAATTAATTGGCATCTCTAAAAGTGACTATGTTTTAGTCAAAAATGCAATCATGAATAACATATGAGCAGGCATCCAGGAATCTTTACACCGTAAAGGTAAGTATAAATCGTAGCATTCAATCATCATCGTTGTATCGTTGGCTATTATTTCATCATTATTGACTTACATGACTTTCTAGCTTTCAAATGATTATTTTTGTCTACTCCAAATTCCAAAACCTCAGCTTATCATAAAAAATATATGTATTATTATTTTAAAAACATCTATATGTATAAAGGGTAATATTATATTTTTTATAATGGTAATTGAATATCAAATAATATGAATATTTAAGACTTTAACATTTTTAAACCATATTTTACCTTCAAATAAAATCAATTACTTATATGATAGTTCAATGAGATAAATTTTTTTCTTTGTCATTTAAAATTTGATATTGTGAGAAACATTTCAAAGAAAAGGTAAAAATCTCTAAGGAGAATGTGCTTTTTAAAATTGTTTGAAGAAAGATTTAACTAAAAAATAAAAAAACTCACTCATTAATCAAATGAACAGAAAAGAAAAAAAAATACTTTGAGTCATTGTTTTATTTAACTCTTTAGCAAATTTCAAAGAACGGTAGTTTGAAAACATATTTGACTCACTTATTTAATTTATACTTATTACTAGAATAAATAACATAATTATATTTTAAAATTAAATCGAATCAAATTTTACAATTCAAATTTAAGATCTAATTCATACCGAACAAGAGTTTTGCAAGTGACTATAATAATTTAAAAAAAAATCTTAAAAAATGTTTTAAAAATTTTTAGTAGCAAAATTTATTATATAAATAAAGAGTATACGGGCATTGCGTAGTAACAGTAGTACTCCATTGGATGCACATTTCTGTGGCAACAGCTTACTTGAAATTGAAATTTAAAACTTACTGCAATTAATGACCAATCCGATAAGATGAAAGGTGGTCCAGTCCAGCAAAGTCTCATTGCCTTTGATAAGCCAAAGGGTAGACAGAGTCGCAGGCAGCAGCAGCAGCTCGGGAACGTGAACTCACCTGTGATTGTGCGCCACCCTGTGCCCCCCCCCTGCGCCGCCTAATTTCCCCCCTCTTCGCCCTTTTCCTAAACGACAAATTTTCCCCTCTAAATCCAAACTTTTAACCTTTTCGTAAAGATGGCGCCTCCTCTCTTTCAAAACCCAACACCAAAAATTTCAAATCCGCTGTCGTTTTAGTAAGATAATCCAATCTCCTTTTAAATCCCAACCTCGAAATTCCATCCAAATCTAAGGGTATTCTCGTAACATCATTATATTTTTCATCACTGATTTTTCCTTTTTCTTTTTTTTAATATTTAAAATATAAGAAAAAAATAACTTTTTGGGTTCTTCTTAGAAGCAAAAATTACTGTTGTTATCTCCGAAAATGCAGAGATACACAGCATTTAGTTGCCAAAGGTTGTTCTTTCGAATCTTTGTACTAAAACCCTAAAATTATTTCCATTTTCGCGCTTTTCTTTGTTTTTTTTTTATTGTTGGGATTTTTGTGAGAGAAAATTTTATAGTATAAGTAAATATTTATCCGTAATATTTGCTTATTTTTTCTGTTGTTGCTGAGATGATGTGAAAGAAGAAGAGGACGAAGAAGAGGAACAGTGTGTTAAAATCAATAAAAAGAATTAAAATGCAAACAAATGAGTAATTTTCGTGTTTGGGTACGAACCCTTTTGTTTCCTCTGTTTTTTCACTTTCAAAAAAACTGTTCTTTTTTTCTTTATATTTCCTTCAACAAAGTTAGCTTTTTCTTTATCTTTATATATATTTTTTTCAAATGAAAGTTGCTTCCTTTTTCCCAACGGGCATCTGGGTGTTTGTTTAAAACAATTTTGTGGGGTTTGAATTGTTAGAAACTTAGCTGGTAATATTTGGTTTTCTATATATTTTTTTTAATGTTTCTATATGTTGTTTTGTCTGCTTTTTTGTTTAGTTATGAGAAGATTGATGAACCTTGATTATTAAAATCAAGGGTAAGTTTGGGCTTGGGAGATCTTTATTTATTTATTTATTTTTTGGTTTAAAGGAAGAATTGCAGGTGATTTGATTTTGTTTTCTTGCATTTTCTTTTTGGTGATTTTTGCTGGTTTGTCGTTATGGGTTTTGTTTAGTCATGGAAAAGAAATAAAAAAAGAAAGAAAGAAAAACTATGTTTAGTTGGTAATTCTGGTTGTTCTTGTTGTTTCTTGCATTTTCAGGCCTAATAAGCATGACATTAGTATTTTCTTCTTCTTTTGAATGCTTATTTAATTTTGAACGTACTGATCTCTATATCTTCTGTACATATTTGCAGGATTTCGACTGTGTTTGTGGCTTGAATTTGAGGCTTAAAAAGGGTACTTCTTTTTTCTTTTTATAGTGTCAAATGTGAGGCTTTTTGCTAAGAAGATTCAACAGTCAAATCCATCAAAAATAAAGCTGCTGGCTTGCAACATATTCCTTCTCTTGTCATTCAATGTGATTTGATTATCTTTGTATGGACGCCTATACAAGAGAATCAAAGAGCAGGTTTTTTTGTTCTGTTTCTGTCAAGAACTGAACAAGAAAAAGAGGGAGAAAACTGATCTTTGGATCCAAAATTTCACAGCTCATTTTTTCTTGTTTTCTAGCTGTTACTTTCACTGGTTTGTCTCCTTGATTTGAACCCCTTCCTAAGAAAAAAGGCGAAGCTAGTTGTGTGGTATAGATATATTGGTGTTCACTTTTTGGGGTAGCTGTCACTCTGCAGTTCGTGTCAAACAGGGGTTTGATTCTCAATCCGTGCCTAATTTAAGCGATAGGACTTAGTTTTTTGTTTTCTGAGACAAAGGCTAGCTAGATCTTCATCAAAATTTCAATCTCCTGTGGAATATTCATACTAAAATTTCACAAGAAGGTGAAACTAAGAGGTCGTTGAAAGTGGGGGTTAGGAATTCTTGAGGAGTTCAATCAGTGAAAAGGGGTCTTTTCTTAGATGCTCGTATCTATCTGTCTCTCTGCCGATTATCTGGAATGGAATAGTTAGCAATGTCGCTGGTACATGTCCTAGAATCCAATATGGTGGGGCAGATCAATAATGCAAATGTTTTGTTTTGTTTGTGCCTTTTTAAGACATGTTTTTTTTGGCCTCTACAATAATAACTGGTATTAAGATAGGTTTTTAAGAGTTGAATCTGTTAAGTGAGGAAGTTTCATAGAAATTCTGCCAAATGAGTCGAGAACAGAAGGGAAAACAGGAAAAAGGTGGTTCGGATGTGGCCGAGAAAGTTGTGGTTGCTGTTAAGGCATCCAAAGAAATTCCTAAGACTGCTCTGGTGTGGGCTTTGACTCATGTTGTTCAACCTGGAGATTGCATTACGTTGCTTGTTGTTGTTTCTTCACATGGTTCAGGTACTATTTTCTTGCTTGGTTTTACATCTATCTGTGATGTTTTTAGTATTGAACTACTGCTGATGTATCTTTTTGCTTTGGGCTTTTAGAACATCTATTACATGAATGACTTTTGAACCACTGTGAAAGGGATTAGTCTTTTTGCTTTCACAATTACTGTTTCTGGTCTGAAGAAGTTAGATTGTTCTGACAAGTTATTTAACCAATCTTCTGCTTAATGTTGTTATAGCTGGTTGCTTAAGACAATACGTTGAAGTTAGTAATGAAGAAATTTCCTGCTTAATGCTATTGTTTATCTGTTGTATATTTTGGTTTCTGGGTGCCAATCTTGGAATTAGTTTGATGGATGCAGACGCAAAACATTATCATCTGCCCTGAAAATCTTGTTGTATATAGACTGTCTTCCAGGTTTTGCTTTCCAGTTTCTGACTTAGTAAATATTTCTTTTCAAATGATTTAGTTTTCCTGAGTATGTTAGGTTGTTTTGTGGCACAGAAAAGTGTGATCAAGGTTTGAAAGAGTCACAATTAGAAATGATTACGTGTTTAACTTCTGAAAAATCGTTTAACTTTATTTTCTCCAATAATTCCTGCTTGCTGGGTAAATGCCGCAATCTTGCAGGTAGAAAATGGGGTTTTCCAAGATTCGCTGGGGATTGCGCCAGCCGGAAGTCTCAATCAGGATCAAGTTCAGAGCAAAAATCTGATATTACCGATTCCTGCTCCCAAATGATCCTCCAGCTTCACGATGTTTATGATCCAAACAAGGTAAATACCTGTCTCTGGGTGCAAGATTATATTACTGATTTATGTAACTCTCCTTGTGTGCTAATGCTTTGTTTCCCAACTTAATTGCACAGATTAATGTCAAGATAAAAATTGTTTCTGGATCACCATGTGGAGCAGTAGCTGCCGAGGCTAAGCGATCCAAAGCTAGTTGGGTTGTATTGGACAAGTAACATCCTGTTTGTTCTGTTTCTTCTTCCTTTCTTTTCCTTTTGTGTTCTATCTAAAAGGGTATATATATTGACAGTCTATATATATCTTTTGTCTTTGTTTCTTGGATTTTTTTTTCAGGCAGCTCAAACATGAGGAAAAACGCTGCATGGAGGAGTTGCAATGCAACATGGTGGTTATTAAGCGTTCACAGGCAAAAGTTCTCCGCTTAAATTTGGTTGGATCACCTGAGAAGGAAGCTGGAGCATCTTGTCAATTAAATTCTGAGAGAGATGAAACATCTGAAAAGCATCCCAAAAACAAAAATGGATCATCTGATTCTATTAGAGGGCCAGTTGTCACTCCAACTAGTAGTCCAGAGCTAGGGACACCATTTACTGCTACTGAAGCAGGGACTTCTTCAGTGTCAAGCTCTGATCCAGGCACTTCACCTTTTTTCATCTCAGAAGGGAATGGAGACCTGAAGAAAGAGGAATCATTAGTCATTAAGGAAAATGAGGGTCTTGATGAATCTAGTTCAGACACAGAGAGTGAAAATTTATCCTTATCTTCAGCGAGTTTAAGGTTCCAACCATGGATAACAGAATATCTTACTTCTCATCGTCAATCCTTACAACACCTAGAAGAAACTTCAAGTGGAGCTAATGACAGGGCTCAAGCTTCAACCACAAAGGCCTTGCTGGAGAAATTTTCAAAACTTGATAGAGAAGCCGGCATTGGGATATCAAGCTTTAGGAGTGATATTGAGTTTAGTGGGAATGTGAGAGAAGCAGTTTCATTATCCAGAAATGCCCCTCCTGGCCCTCCTCCATTGTGTTCAATATGTCAGCATAAGGCACCTGTATTCGGAAAACCACCAAGGTGGTTTACCTATGCTGAATTGGAGCTTGCAACTGGTGGATTTTCACAAGCTAATTTCTTGGCCGAGGGTGGGTTTGGATCTGTTCATAGAGGAGTACTCCCAGATGGCCAGGCAATTGCAGTCAAGCAACACAAATTGGCTAGTTCTCAAGGAGATCTTGAGTTTTGCTCGGAGGTGGAAGTTCTAAGTTGTGCTCAGCACAGGAATGTTGTTATGCTAATTGGGTTCTGCATTGAGGATAGAAGGCGGCTACTGGTTTATGAGTACATATGCAATGGATCCCTGGATTCTCATCTATATGGTATTTCTTTCTGTTTAAGTAGAATAAAATCTTTATGCCAATCTAATTCAACTGCTATATGTATGTGCTAATCATTGATATAGCCATCATGTATGGTGCCTTCAAAGAGTTTGGTGTGATGGCTATGAGATTTAGAAGAGCTTGTTGTCTTTGCTTATTGAAAGTGCGTTTTTCTAACTGTTTGGATTTGATGATTGAATTAGAAAAAGCGTTCACCAACCCCCCTACCCTCTATCTTGACTTGCCTCCCAACACAAACTGTGAGGGAAAGAAATGCAAAACTCAAAAACCACAGATAGCTGAAGTTAGTCACAGCAGTAACTATAGGTCTAACATAATCAAAATCTGGTTTCTAGAAAAAAATTTATTATACTCGAATTGCTTATTTCTATCTAGCAACCATGGTTTTGAATGTACCATCAATTTGATGTCTTTCAGGGCGTCATCAGGAACCTTTAGAATGGTCTGCACGGCAAAGGATTGCTGTAGGAGCTGCAAGAGGTCTGAGATACCTTCACGAAGAATGCAGAGTTGGCTGCATTGTGCACCGTGACATGCGACCGAACAACATTCTCATTACCCATGATTTCGAACCTTTGGTATGCAAACTTCTAATTTCCCAATATATGCTTCACTTCGAATCTTCTTACCGTCAATATTTTTAGATGGATACTAGGAGAAGCCATTTTACGTAACTGAACCTTTTTAATACTTTCCTTAAATAGTTGTATCTGCAGGCATTGATTCAGTTTTGTTTTCACAGGTTGGAGATTTTGGCCTTGCAAGATGGCAGCCAGATGGTGATACTGGAGTTGAAACAAGAGTGATTGGAACATTTGGGTAATCTTGAATGAGAACTTTTTCTTTACAATTTACCTTCCCTTTTCAATTGCAGAATCCACTAATTGTTTATGCTGTGGTATAGGTATTTGGCACCAGAATATGCTCAAAGTGGCCAAATCACAGAAAAAGCCGATGTCTATTCCTTCGGAGTGGTGTTAATTGAACTTGTTACTGGACGGAAAGCTGTGGACCTTAATAGGCCAAAGGGCCAGCAATGTCTAACTGAATGGGTATTTTTAAAACTCTGCTACTATATTTTGCCGCAAATTACTAGTCTCTACTTCTGTGTAACTTCAAAGAACATTTATAAAACACATAGCACTCACATTTTCCACACAGAAGGGGCAAAACAAAGGTTTTCTGATTTTTAAATGTCCTCTAGGCTTTGGATTTGTTGGTTTATTGTCACTTATTGCTTATGTTATTATCTGGAATAGGCACGTCCGCTTTTGGAAGAATATGCTGTAGATGAATTAGTAGACCCAAGATTGGAGGATCACTATTCAGAACATGAGGTCTATTGCATGCTTCATGCTGCATCATTATGCATAAAGCGGGATCCTCATTCTAGGCCTCGCATGTCACAGGTAATGAGAAACTTCGTGCAGAAGAGTCTATTTTGTTTTACCACACATTTTACTTTGAAAATACTGATTCTTCTATGTTTTTTTATATAAATCTTAGTAGCCTTAAGATCAGTGGGAACTCAACACAACTTTACTTTATCACAACATTGTTTTCCTTTCAAAGTTTTATTGAAAATGTTTATTCAAAGAAAATTTTTGGCTCCTATTTAATGGTAATGGAAGACATAAATGGTTAAACAACAGATTATGTGCTTAGAATGTAATTATGAGTATTTGGAAAGAATGGATTGGGTTACAAAATATCTCCTTTGTCACATTTTGATATTTAAAGTCATTACTCGGTAAGGTTCAGAATATTTTGCTTATTGATTGGATGTTCTTTTGAACAGGTGCTCCGCATATTGGAAGGTGACATGCTCATGGACACAAATTACACATCTCCAGGATATGATGTTGGTAACCGCAGTGGCAGGATATGGGGAGAACAACGACAGCATTACAGTGGACCCTTGGCAAACGAAGCATTGGAAGGGTTCAGCGGGAAGCTTTCCCTGGATGGACTAAGGCCGGGAGCCAGGGCGGCTTCATGTGAAGATAATTTATAAAAAGCGCACTTTCCCGGTTTCTTTACACGCATGGTACGCTAAATATCTGTGTGGCATCTTGGTCGTACTTTCTTTTGATTCTTTTATCCAATGCCATCTTGATTTTGCTTGTGTATAGTAGTAGTATCGGAAGCAAGGGGTAATAGGGTTTTTGTAATTCTTTTTGGAAATGCCAATTTTCAAAGCTGTGGTGAATATGCCTTCTAATTAAATCAATGAAGCAGCTTTAGTTATAGGGTTCTCTCTCTCTTACTTTCACATGTCTGTGGATATTGGATTTTGTTTGGTCGTGCATTGCATACAGTTCTCAATCCTAATTGATGAGCAAAAGTAAAATGCATTTTGGCAGTTCATGGTAAGACTGTGGTTTCCCATATTTTATTTTTGCTAAGAGAAGCTACTATCAGATAAAAATGGTCTGAGAATTTGTCTTGCATCAATAACCAAACAAAAATTTAGGGAAAAACAAGATTTTAAAGCCCATTTCATTTCAACCAGACGGTGAAACATCCTTATCATACCTGTTATTTTTTTCTGTTTTCTTTAAATTTCAAACTTTTTAAAAGATTTTTTTTTTAAAACATAAAACGTACCCTGGCAATGGCACTACATATTTTCTCATGATGACAAAAGTCTGAAAGATGCAGAAAGACAGGTCATCAAGAAGCAAAGCTTCTTGTTTTTTGGTGCTTTGACAGCAGTGAAACCAAATCTTTTTCTTTATGTACAAGGACAAGTTGGTTGGTTTTGTTGTCTTGACGTTGCCTCTATAACAGAACATTGATGATGATCAACGTGCATATCCTTTTTTTCTTCTGGTGTGTAACATCGAAGTTGCATCTTGTTAAAACTTGAGAGTGACTTCTCTCCCGAAAGATGCCTCCGTTAATGTCCTAAATTTCAATGTAGCGGTTACATTGGGATCTTATCCTCGGCTCTACGCAATTCGTTATTTCACTTTCCCTTAAAAATTTAGGTTTTATTTGATGGATGTTTCTGTTTTTCAGTTATTTTTTAATTTTTGCTTTTCAATTCCTATTCAATAAAATAAATTGTAAAAGTACCCACCAAACGAAATTTTAATCTATTTTCCACAGCTTCGTTTTGGATACTACCGGAAAAAAGCATGCTGAATGGGTCAAGCATGAGAAATATTGCAATTCGAACCTCCAAACTTGGATAGCCACTTACAAATCCTGTTAACAATTAATTGCCTGTTGTCATTCCAATGCAATATTTTATTTTTCAAAATAGATTAATGTCACCAACAGCTTCTAAATTATAATAAAATATTTAATATGATATTTAAATTTTAAAAATCTTTAATATGATATTTAAATTATAAATTTATTAATCAATATGATATTTAAAAAAATTTTATCTATCATGTAATCTAATAACATTAGAAGAAAATATCATATTAATTAATAGGTTCTTAGTTCAAAGATATCACATTAAAAATTTATAAAATCCAAATATCACATTGATAATTTCACTATGGTTTAGAGATCGACATTAATACTTCCAAAATCTATGGTAATCCGGAACTGTTGATTAGGCTGCTTTTCACATGTAAGAATATGTTTAACCATCTAATGTGAATTGCCAGCAGAAACAGGTCATTGATATATAGATTGGAAAAAATGGTCAAGTGTGTATCCATTCCGTAAATGCCATGAAATCTGCATTGTTGCCAGGGTGCTCAACATGATTTAGGTGAATAAGATTGGAATGTGAGAAAATTATGAGAAAAGAATTAGCGAAGAGGGTGGGAATAATAAGTTGGAATGAAATATGAATTTGCGTCGCCTTTACAATGTTGGATAATTGAACTCACCCTTCAAATAGGGACAGGAGACAATGCTTTTACAGTACAACTGGGATGGTGCCCTGCCGGGCCATTTTTTATAATTGCCAGCTCATTCCCTTCTTCCTAGGGCTTCCTCATCTTGGACCTTGCATATCTGGAAAAGAAGGAAAATATATCATTTGATATAATGAAATGAGACTGCTGAACAAGCAAATTTGACTAGTAAGGCCGGTTATATGTACTCTATGTGCATGCCGCCTCTGTCTGATGAAGGTAACAGGCTGCTCTGGAGGTCCATCATCACTTTTGTAGCTTGTTCTATTTGCTGTGATGCAGAGAGAGAGAGAGACTAATGAGATCATGCACTAAAAATTATAACATGACCATTTAGTATGTTATTCACATGGTGACCATAGAACCAACAAGGAATGCAAGTAGCTATAAGTGATCAAACCAATAAAGACGAATGTAGCAAGATTTAGGATGCTCAGAATGTAGTTAGCAAGGCTTGTGACATAACAATAAATGATGCATCATCAAAAAATTCAAGGGGTCACCACATTGTGTGATTGTTTTCAATGAGAAATTTAATCAAGCAGAAACCCCAACAAATTTTCTTGCCAAATACATTATTTATCAATATCATGAAATACAAGCATGTGCATTTATCACAGATTTCTTCTTTTCTGTTTAAACGCCTGATTTCTTATGTAACCAACCAATTTTGGATAGATTACTTTGCAACAAAATTGGAAGGTGCATTTTGCATTCTATGTTTTTCAATGCTTCCCATTTTCCATTTTTACTCCAAAGTTTCTAAAATATCTTTACTCAGTTCTATTAAGGCATATGGTCTGGAATTCAAAGGATGTGACTTTGCGTGATGAGGATTACACTTCCCTGACCAGCAAAAGATTACAGAGAATTTTATAGGGAAAAATACACACCCAAAAGGGAAAAAAAAAGTGTTAACTTCTGCTAAAGCTAAATATGATTTCATGGGAGTCTCTTTCATAGAAACTCCACTGGTAAAATGATATATAGATTGAATAGGTTATATCATGAATCAAGATTCATTGGTCATTTAAAACATCTAACAAAACCAAGGCCTATGTGTGCATCATTATGTTTGTATACCTGAAAATCAGCAAATGCAACTGGCATTCCACCTTTAGCCCGAATCTTTAGCATATTGAATCCAGGATACCTGAAACCAGAAAGAATTGATCTCAACTAGTTTCTTATCTCTACGTGGTAAGGAGACACGAGGGGTAAGGGTATGCTTGGAGGAAAACAGGTAAAAAATCCAACACTTTTTTTTTTTCAACCAGAATATATTAGTATATAATGATTAGCACCGCAACTTACTGAGATAGAACTTGCTTTAGTTCATCTTCAGTGCAATTTGGACCTAGATTTGCTATAAACAAAGTAGAGCATGGTTGAACACCTTCATCAACAGTCGTTTCTAACTGCTCCTGCAGTAACCATCAAAATTAAGTGCAGAGTAAAAAATTTTGACAGAAATAACTAAAAAGTGCTTCTTGAATTTGTCTCAAAGAAGGTAAAATTTGAGATAAACTTTATCCCAGACATGCTGTCTTGAATAAGCCCCATATGCCTCATACAAAAGAGCTTCAAATGCTTATATGATGATGGAAAGCAGAATAGAGTGGTTTCTATTTACATTTGCAGCTGCTACAGCATTTTCTGGATCCACTGCTGTCTCACTGCAATGCCAGACAATAAAGTAAACTTAGCAATGGGATAAAAAACTCACAGGGTTAATTACAATGTGCTTTTTTATTGTTTACTTGTCATACAAAGCTATTCTCACTGTTTATGATTGATATAGAGATGCTTAAAATATTAAACTTTAACTAAACAATAACACATCTCCATAGAGTTTTCAACCTCTTTACAGTTTTCAAATCAGCCTTGTTTGAAGAATCAGCATTGCCAGCCCCAGATTGTTCTTCAGTGTCAGTGCCTCCTGAATATGGAAAATCATACTAGCATGAGTAGCTGATAAAGGATCGTGTTGAGGGTGCAGAGCCTCCCTCCAGTAGAATCATAGATATGCACATCTTTTGTTTTGTTCTTTTTTTAACCACAAGAAAAACAGCAAAGGTTGAGAGGGATTTTAAGAGCTTACCGTCATCACTTGATGTTTCTTGGGTATTAGCTGAGGTGTTAGTTCTTCTATCAATAACAACATAAGGACCACTACCTGAGCAAGGAAAAGTCAGGCATCACATAATAGTTTTGGAGATGAATAGCATTAAAGTTTCAACAAATATAACAACTTAAGACATTGTCTACCTGGTTTCCGTTTTCTCCTCGAGTTTGATCTTGCTAGTTCAATATGCAGAACAGATCCCGCTTGAGGATCAAACTTTACACCCTAAACATGGTCGATCAAAAGTATGAAAAGAATATAAAGTCACAGAAATCTCCAAAAGCTTCAAGAATTCTTGTAAATCAATAATACTTACGTTTAATGCATGCATTGCTGCAATTGCAGATTGATGATTGAGAAAGGTAGCAAATGCAACAACCTGTAATCATGAGATGCAGCCCTCAATATATTACTCTCCAAGCAATTGTCTTAAAAATGCGAAACAATAAACTTCTGCTAAGATTATTAAACAATGCGCAAGTATCAATAAGTATATAAAAGTGGCAGAAACTTAGACATTTCCCCATTGTATTATTGTTTTTTGAAGTTGGTTCTTTTGTCAAAGAACCTCGGAAGTGTGATCATAATACAAAATGCGGATCATACACATAAAAAAATTGGCCAATATTAACATTAGATAGCGATAAAGAAGTTATTTTTGCTTTCTCGAGAATAGCTAAAAAATGGGGCACAAAGTTAAAATTTAAGAGAAATTCAAAAAGATCAGTTCACATAAAAAGTAACATAGCACCTTTTTTTTATTTTAATTGCCCAAAAGTATTGCTTTTAAATCCAAATGTACTTCTGCAACAATAGTTAGATAAATTTCTACCTAGATAAGATTTAATTCAACTATTTCTAAATTCAATTAATCTTCATAATTCTTTAAAATATGAATAAAAAGAAAGCGAATCAACTAAGCTATGAGTCCTTACAGCAATTTCTCGTTAAGAATGAATGAATTTTCTCGGAAACCAAACAGAGAGCAAAAGGATTTGCAAAAATAAACTTTATTTACCTGGTTGCCACGGCCAGTGTACTTGAGCTGGCAAGAGTCGAAGCCGGCACGTCTCCGAAAGAGGTTGTGAATCTCGCGCGCCTTGACGTCATCCGGGAGCCCCGAAACGAAGAGCGTGTTGATCAAGTTGCGGTCTTGGTCAGGTTGAAGGTAATAAGGATCGTATTCGTATGGCGGGCGCGCCATTGGATTCTTGTTGTGGAGGCCTCCTACGAGAACTTGATGGACAGCTCTAATTAGAGATAGCTTGATGCCGCTTATTGCCGGCGGCGGCGGAGACGGTTAGGAGAGTTTGATGGGTTTAGAGAGGACAATCCTTGTTTCCCCCTTTTCGTTTTCTCTCACATTTGGTGCTTATAAATGCACCACCATTTTTTTCTCTGAACACTTTTTCCTTTTCACAATTATCTTTAGATAAAATTATTTAGTTATCTTTTATCATTTTAATTTTAAAGTTTTTGGATATTAAAATTGGGTAAGATATATAATTTACTAAATTTTTAGACTCAGTAAATTATATTTTGAAAATTTTTCATAATATTACAAAAAAAATTATTTCAAATAATTATAAATTTATTTACAAATTGATAAATTAAAATTATGCATATGAGTCTATTCATTTTTCTTGATTTAAATAATTTGGAAAAAAAACAACTTTAAAAGACTTTTGAATTTACGAATTCCAAATTCAAAAACTTTTAAAAGTAAAAAGGCATTTGAGAAAGAATAATAAAATAATTTTATTTAAGAATAATTTCAAAAAAATGTGGAAAAAAATGAAGTACAAATTGTGAATTTATCAAAATATCAAGTTTCTTCATGTGGCTGAGCTAAATGAAAAGAGTAATATTAAAAAAATATGGTTGGCCACATTTTAACTCTTTATATTAAAAAAATTAAATATTTTAATGATAAAATTACCTCTAAACATTTTTACTTTAAAAATACTTTAATCACACACTTAATTTTTCTCTTCTCAACCTCACCCTATAAAACTTTAATTTTGATTCTCTTCATCCGCAAAACCTAAACCAAATATTAATTATTTTAAGTTAGAAGATGCCGAAAATAGAGGTGGAATACGAAATTAAAACCTTTTACGACGAAAACTGCAAATAAAACGATCGAGTAAACTTTCTGAGTTGAGATTTTAGATGAAATTTAATAAAAAATTACATATTTCTGATATATATTTCAGATATTTAGATAACTTATAAAAACAAAATTTTGTATAAATAAATAATTTTCGAAAATACACATTCATAAATATTATTAATTTAACATACAAAAATATATATTCAAAAAATTTTAACAATTTTCGAAATGCATATTCAAACAGTTTTTAATTTATCATATTTGTAATTTCAGAAAGTTTTAGCCTTTCTGAATATGCACTTTTGAAAATGTTAATAACATTCCAAATATATATTTATGAAAAAATTAAAAATATAAATGCTGATATTATAATTTCAATCGGTTGTTTTGAATAATTTTTTTTTAATGTGTTTGAAATTTGATTGTATGCATTTGATTATAAAAAAATATTGCAAATATAATTTCCTTTATTTTGTTGTTATTTCTTCAAATTTGAATAGTTGAAGTGGAAAGTATGATGGCTTAGATTAAGTTCTTTCGATAAGTCGATTGAGTTCTATTTGATCCTCAATAATTAATTTGTTGAATATAAATTCACAGCCAGTACTTAGTCCTTCGGAAATTGAATTATATATAGCATGCATTTAATGTGATTAACAGATGGATTTAATTTCTTAATGTGTCATGGTCGGTGCATATATGATCTCCTCTTTAAAAGCCGGGTATAAAAGATATGAAAAATTGATTTGAAATTGAAATAATCGATGTTAAGATCATTTAATTTTATCGACTTTAGATTAAATTTGAATATTAAATATATATATTCAATTTAAATAAAAATATAAAAAATGATAAAATTAAATTAAATTATATATTTTTTATTAATTATATATATTAAATTTTATAAAATAAAAAGAAATATATATAAATTTATTTTAAATATATTAAAAATTTTATTAAAATTATATATAAAAAACAAAAAAATTAAAAATTTGAAATTGATGAATCGAATAAATAAAGTTTAATTCAAATCAATTTCAAAATTAATTTAACTCAAATTCAAATTAAATTTTAAAATTTAAAATTTAAAATTTATAATATTATACACTATAAAAAAAATAAAGGATACCGTTACTTTTCAGTTTCCACCTCAAAAGAAAAAAAAATGCAGACTAACAGCATTAACCCCTTTATGTACAAAAAGCATGAACATAATGAAAAGCATCCAACAAAGCTGGCAGCGGAAATCGACTGCTGTGATGCGATTGCCCAATAAATCCATCGCCGTTGACTGGCGGTGGATCTCACGCGAAATCTCATGGACCCATGATTACCCTCACCACGATTATATTATTACATTGATCAGAGAAAATGCTGACCTTAACCAGCTACTGGTGCACCTGTGCACCATATCCATGGGCCATTACCTTTTGCTATAAAGCTATGTCAATGAAATTGCAGCAGTCCATTAATTCTGAGGACCATCCTCATCAGCTAGTTAATTAAATAAATTGTGTTCCCTATTCCTCACCAATTATTTAATCTTCAATCTTGGTTTAGTAAAATCATGGCCGCAGGCTCCCAAGGCCCACTTACTAGACAAAATTTGCCCAGTCCCCTGTACAGTACTCTGCCGAGGTTCTATTCATCAAAATGAAGGCATAAAAGAAAACCATTCAGGCCAAAATAGAAATTAGAGTGAAATTGAAAGTGAAAGACCACATTATAATCAAAATAAAGGAAAAATCCAAATAACCATCAAGAACCATGACCAGACTGTTTCAATGTACAGTTTACTGAGCCAAAGACCAGGAAAGTTCACTGAAAGCAATGGCTAGTTTTTGTAGCAGGTGATTTCCTGCTCTTTTGAATGAATGGATACAACTTTAATCATCTAAAAACTGAAAATAATGGCTAGCTGTTGCATATATTTTTATATCAGACACAGTATTGAAAGTAACAAAACTCTCAAATACCAAAGAAAAAAAAGATACTTGTCAGAAGAAGATCAGATGACCTGAGCAGCAGATTCCCTCATCTACCATTCAAAACTACCACTTGCAAACTTCCATTCAATTATGATTCAGGGGATCAAACCAAAACATCTTTTGGCACTAAACAATGTTAATTTAAAGAACCCATAGAAACAAACAAAGCAACAAAAAAATTGAGATCATAAAAATACCAATAAGAACTCAATTTAAAATCCAGAAAAAAATAAACAGAAAAGAAGAAAAGAAACACACAATTATGAAGAAGATGAAGGTCCAGACATCAAGCCGGCAGATTCTTCATCATACAAATCATCAGTCTTCCTAAAGGAAGCGTGCACCAAAACGACAGCCACACCAATCAAAAGTGACACTAAAATATTGAGCGTGGCGTCAGTCAACAGCAAGAACACAATGGTCAAAACCCCCAACACGACCAGCACCACACGATCGTCGATCGTACGGTTGAAAACAACCAAAGGTTCATCCCTTAGGAAGTACAAGAACAACCAAGCGGCCATCATGACTATGAAGACTATGAGGGAGATGGGATGCCATAAAAGGCTAAGGAAAAGGATCACAAGTATGATCATGGCGTAGTTCATGCGGAAGTAAGCTACGTTAGTTGTAACCCTGGAAATGGCTTCGGAGAGGCTTCCAGGGATGTTGATGGAACCGATGTTGAACATGAGTTTCCATGGACGTCGAGCTCCGAGGCCTTCTTTGATACGTTCCTTGGCTCGAGATAGGTATTCAAGGTTCGTCGAGGGTCCTGGCGATGAGGAAGTCGGGATTGTGCCGTAGCTTGTCATGTTTTTCTGGTTTGAAGTTCAAAGGTTTGACCTTTCAAGGGCATTGGTTTGGGGAAGAAGAAGGACGAAGAAGATCGAGAATACCGTGCAGAAATAGAAAGGAGACTTAGGGAGGTGGGGTTTAAGGAATAAAGAATTCATGAAGGGGGCGTGGGTGGGTTTATAGTGTGATTCTGAGATCTATAATCTATTGCTTTAGTATGTCTCACGGTTTATAATTGGTTTAGATATTTTCTTTTTTTTTTAATATATACTATGTCCTGCAACTTCAATTTGCATAAAATAAATGGATATATAACTCAAATAGAATCTTGATAATTATTAGTTGGATAATTGCTTATTTTAATTTACATAAAAGCCAAGCCTTTAATTTACAAAATTAAAATAAGATTTTACTTTTAAAGTAATTTTTATAAGATTAACATGCTATGGAAAAAATACTAATGAATTTTCAATTAGTTGCAATATTCACCCATAAAACATGTGGTTGAAATAATAAAAGCATTGAGTGATCTTGATGACATTGGTGTAAAATATACGGGAAAATGGAAATAAAGGAAAACTTTGAACTAAAGAATATCATGTTTCATTACAAAATTAGCATGGCCACCGGATTGGTGTACTGAATTTGGTCCAACTGTCTAGATTTTGTGAGGTTGATGGGAGATGATGGCCTTGAGCTACATCATAACATGTATGACTTTTGAATATTTAAAAACATTGGTAGAGTTTTCATTAGTAGTAATATTATTTAAATTTATTACAATATTAACACCCCGACACATCCAACCTAACCCTTCAAGGGAGGATAAGACCGCACTAAAACGTTGTGGGGACGGCATTGATAAAGGGACGGCAAGTTACCAACGAGGCCGGCCACCTCGTCCACGTGGCACGTTGCTAGCTCTGGCAAAAGTTGTACAAGACTTTTTCCCTTGATACAACCTTTGCGGCTGTCGTTGCTAAATCTGGAATCACCTTGTCTTCACACGTGGTCTCAGGTGGATTTAGACAATTTTTCGGGACAGCCAACCAATCAAATATTTCCACGTAAATAACAACAGTAACGATTGGCAAACCGTCACAGAAGGACTCAAAACAGAAAGTCGTACCCATGGCCATGGCTGGCATGTGAAGGAAAGATTTTGCAGATCACCATCAGTTAAGGGGAAGCAGAAGGCAAATCATTTTGGTCACTTTTGCCATGATGCAAGCTAATAATTTAGATGAAGTTATATGATTTAAGTCATAGATGAAGTGAATTAGTTGTCAAATTAAGACAAAAGCGAAATTACTGTTCATTTACTACAAGAAAGACATTCTAGTCTTCTGCCATCATCGTAATAATAATAATAATAATAATAATAATAATAATAATAATAATAATAATAATAATAATAATAAGTATTATTATTATTATTTTGTTAATTTCAGTTTCAATGGAAACTTAACTAAATTGTCAATTGTCATCTGTCCTTTGTATGTTGATTGGACGTTTGATAAGGCGAGATTTAGATAGTATTTTTTTGGTAAAATTTATAAAATTATGTGTTAAAAATGATTTAATAAAAATGTTAACAAAAAATTAATAATAATATGAAAATTTTTTTTTGATGAGAATATCAATAATATGAAAAAATTATTGAAAATATTAATTATAATTTAATTTTAATTAATATTTATTTAATAATAAATTTTATCAAATTTTTTTAAAAAATATCTATTTAAAAATTTTTAAAAATTAGACATTCAAAGAAGTTTCATTACGAATGGCATAATCCTTGTTATAATTAGTAAGAGCAATTGGAATATAGGATAGAGAAGTAGGGCTTATTTGACAAATCAAAGTTTCATTCAATGATATGAAATTATTTAGTTACAGCTAATATTTTTTAATATAGTTAATCTTCCTTAAAAGCACTTAATTTACACGCAAACAAATACTTAAAATGTTTTTGTGTAAGTTAAGAATAACAAAGTTTTGTTTCAACCATAATTTAAAATGTCAAATAACTCTAATTCAAATTTTATTATATTCGAATTTAATCTAATTTTATATTAAATTTATTTAATTAATTTAAAAATTAACTTGTTTATTAATTTAGTTTTTTATTGATTTATATATAACTTCATAAAATGAAAAAGACTTGTAATTTAACATTGATATCCAAGGAAAAGCATTTTGATGCAACTAAAATTATCAAATCATATACATTCTCCTTCCATAACAAGTGGCCAAAGAGCATGAAAATGGCGTTTCCTTTACTCACTTTTTCTCTATTTTTAAAAGTCATTGTACCATAATTGTTTTGGACAAGGAAAATGTCTTGGGATTTGCGAAAAGTTTTGGTTGGCATAGGGCCAATGTACTATATATAACATTTTATGAAAAGTACATTTTAATTCAAACTTTTATTCATGATGATTTTTTATATAAAAAAGTAACAATTTAGAGATAAAAAAATAGATTGTAAATATTAAAATTAAAATTTAAAATTTATTGCATATTATTTTTAAAAATAATTGTATAAACTGATTAAATTAAATTTTATATTCATTTCATCATAAATTTATGTGTCAATAACTGTGATTTAATATGTAATCTATCAATTGATTTGTACAGGGATGCGTGGATGCAAGCAGAATCAGGTTTCAATTTTTTAAGGGGGCCGGAAAAGTGTGATTTGAGTTGAAGTAAACTTAAACTTCAAGTGAAAAAAACATGTCAAAGACATGGAGATTGCATCCAAGATTAGCAATGGAGAATTTCACAAGTTTTTCCAAGGTGCCAACCCCATTATTCAATTGCATTCTAAGTTTCACATTGCGGGCAGCTTCAACCCTCACCTACCTTTATAAACTCAAGGATGTTATGACAAATTCCCTCTCATGTCAAAACAAAACCAATCATTTTAGCTTCTGATCTCTGCCTGTCTGTTTGTCCTCTTTGAGAGTTATAAATTTGAAGGCTCTGAGCAATGGAGGGAAAAGAAAAGTTCTTCCATGGAACACTTGAAGCTACAATTTTTGATGCAACATCTTACACACCTCCATTTCCCTTCAATGTAAGTGCTAATTTTATTGTAATTTGCATCAGCAAAATCTTACATCTGAGGAGGGTTTTTGGCTTTTTGCTATGAATGAATGCTTCTTCAATCTTTGCTGCAATTTCTTTTTAAAGCTATCCTAACATGGTTTTTTTTCTTTAGTGTATGCTTGCAAATGGAAAGCCAACTTATGTGACCATCAAACTGGAGAATAGGAAGGTAGCAAAGACGAGCCATGAACGTGATCGGGTGTGGAACCAAACCTTCCATGTTCTCTGTGCTCATCCACCTGATTCAACCATCATAATTACAATGAAAACAAAGTGCTCAATCTTAGGAAAATTCTGCATCCAGGCAAGACAAATTCTAAATGAAGCTAGTTTGATCAATGGGTTCTTTCCTCTCCAACTTGATAATGGTAAAACGAACCCAGAGCTCAAGCTACGGTTCATGTTGTGGTTCAAACCAGCAGAATTTGAACCAACCTGGGGAAATGTACTTAAATGTGGAGGATTCCAGGGTCTTAGAAATGCTACATTTCCTCAACGGTCCAATTGCCGTGTCGTGCTTTATCAAGACGCACACCATAGCTCTTCGTTTCAGCCTCCATTTTCTACTTGTGGTACTCCAAGAAAATTGTGGGAGGATGTATACAAGGCCATTGAGGGTGCAAAACATCTAATTTACATTGCAGGCTGGTCTTTTAATCCAAAGATGGTTCTGGTAAATGAAACATTAATCAATGTTCCAATTCCCCATCACCATTAATCCATTCCTGTTACTTCCTAATCTAGTTGTCGTTAAAACAGGTCCGGGATCCTCAAACAAATATTCAACATGCAAGAGGTGTAAAGCTTGGTGAATTGTTGAAACGAAAAGCTGAAGAAGGTGTAGCAATAAGAGTTATGCTTTGGAACGACGAAACTTCCTTACCATTGATCAAGAACAAAGGAGTAATGAGAACACATGATGAAGATGCTTTTGCATACTTCAAACATACCAAAGTCATATGCAAGTTATGCCCAAGATTGCACCACAAATTCCCAACGCTCTTTGCTCACCATCAGAAGACTATTACTGTTGATACCGGAGCATATAGTTCTTCTGTAAATGATAGAGAAATCATGAGCTTTGTTGGGGGAGTAGATCTTTGTGATGGTCGGTATGATACAGAACAACATTCCTTGTTTCGTACACTTAATACGGAATCTCATTGTTTTGATTTCTATCAAACAAATTTATCTGGAGCCAGCCTCCACAAAGGAGGACCAAGGGAACCATGGCATGATGCTCATGCCTGTATAACTGGGGAGGCTGCTTGGGATGTCTTGGCTAATTTCGAGCAAAGATGGACTAAACAATGTGACCCTTCTTTGTCATTGCCTACAAGCTCTATTCCAAATCTCATATGCCAGCCTTTTGCTTCAAGCATTTCCAACGACAGGAATTGGAAGGTACAAGTTTTTAGATCAATTGACTATGTCTCAGCTAACCCGTTGTCTAAAACCTTTACTGTGGAGCAAAGCATCCATGAAGCTTACGTGGAAGCGATAAGGCGGGCTGAGAGGTTCATTTACATTGAAAACCAATATTTCATTGGGGGATGCCATTTGTGGGATAAAGATAAGCAGTCTGGCTGTAGAAATTTGATCCCTGCAGAGATTGCACTTAAGGTGGCAAGCAAAATTAAAGCAAAGCAGAGGTTTGCGGTGTATATTTTGATACCAATGTGGCCTGAAGGAGTACCTGACAGTGAACCAGTACAGGATATATTGCACTGGACTAGAGAAACAATGGCTATGATGTATAAATTGATTGGAGAAGCCATAAAAGAAGAAGGCGAGCCAGGGCACCCGAGAGACTACTTGAACTTCTTCTGTCTTGCAAACAGGGAAAAAGAGAGCAAAGAAGAGTTCGTACCTCCTCATTCCCCTCACCCTTCAACACAATACTGGAATGCCCAAAAGCACAGGAGGTTCATGGTATATGTGCACTCTAAGGTCATGATAGGTAATACCTAAGTCATCAGCTTCCCATTTTTATTTTATTTACGAATAACCGTATGATATGTTGGTAGAGTTTTGGGTGTATCAAAGGCCAAATCTTGATTCACGATTAACCATGTTTGTTGCTGCTGTTTTCAGTGGATGATTTGTACATTCTAATAGGATCTGCCAACGTGAACCAAAGATCCATGGACGGGCAACGAGACACAGAAATTGCAATAGGATGCTACCAGCTGCCGCCAGAAAATCCTGAAACTAATTCTGCAACTTCTAGAGATATCCATGCCTATCGAATGTCGTTATGGTACGAACACACCGGACTAACCGATGTCATATTCCTGGAGCCACAGAGCCTGGAATGTGTGCACAAAATGCGTTCACTAGGTGACCAAATGTGGCAAATTTATGCAAACGAAGAAATCATGGACATGGAAGGAGTGCACCTAGTCACTTACCCTGTTAACGTCACAGTGGATGGTTTGGTTGAAGATGTTGCCGATGGTGATGGAAATTTTCCGGACACGAAATCCCCGGTGAAGGGCAGACGATCCAAAATGCTGCCACCGATTTTTACAACTTAGCTAAGGAATTTTATTTGAAATTCTTACATTATCATATTGTGTTACGAGGTCAACACATTATTAGATGTAAAAATAAAAAAATATATAATATTTATTTATTTTTCTTGTTATTATTCTCATTATTGATTCAAAATAATCTAATTAAATCTTTATACTACTATTTCATCCAAATAAATCTCTCAATTTTTATTTTCTATTATCAAAGCCCTTACATCTTTATACTAATAATATATTAGCATATTTTGAGACATGTGGATAATGATATTATAAAAAAACTTATATATATATATATATAAATAAGTAGTTTTAAAAAAATGATCTAACAAAAAATTTTATTAATTGATATCATAATTAAAATTAATATTATGTAAAATTAATAAAAAATAAAATATTAATAAAAATGATTATTTATTTGACCATAATAGAAAATAATTATAAAAAATGTATATATGTAAAATTAATAAAAAAATCTACATTCATATAAAAATATAAAAAAGATTTTAATTTTCTTTTTTCTAATTTTCATATAAATATTTCCTTTTTATTAATTTTATATATAGATATTTCTTTTTTATTAGATAAAGATAAACTATTATATTAATAAATAACATTATATTTTAATAAATATAAATAATAATTGTTTATAATTATTTATTACTTATTAATTGTTATATTGATTAAAATATAAATATTATTTCTAACTATTAAAATATAAAATATGATTTTAATAAAATGTTAAGTAATTTCACTAGTAATTAATTGTTCTATAAGTTTAATATTTTAAAATTTGTAATATATAATATACTTTAAATTTATAGTTTTATGGTTGAATTATTAAACTATAAATTTAGTTAAAAATTTAAATTTTAAAATTTTAAAATATTTATAATATTTTTTATTAAATCCACAATTGATTCATTGGCTCCATAATTTGAACTATTAACCCAATAATCCGAAACTTATAAAATATAAATCCCTTTTAAGGAGTGCCATTAGTTTAAATGGAATTCGAGTTTTGAGTTTGAGTAAAACGGTTTTTCAAACCTTACCCTTCCGTCCATAACCCGTAACCGCAAATCCTTCTCTCTCTCGATGATTTCTTCAGCACACAAATGGATGCTTCACAGCACTAATAGCTCTATGGTGATCTCTCTCTCTTTTTTTCCTGTTTAGATTCAAATTATTTAAAAGTTATTTTTACGACTTTTTTTGAATGCTAAAAGGCTATGCGCCGTGTGCATACCAGTCATCGGACTGATCGAGTTTCTCATCTTCAGCTTAGCTTCTTGTTTCATGGTTCGAATCTCTAACAACTCTCCTTGTCTGTTAATTAATTAAACAATATATTATTACTGATTATTTCTAAATATATTTAATTATCTGCCCTTTTTTTTAGAATTTGGTTTTATTTTTTGGTTTGATTCGCAGTTAGTGTTAATGAAGTGGAGGCATTGCACGAATTGTATAAGAAGCTAAGCTGCTCAATTATTGATGATGGCCTCATTCATAATGTTAAAATTAGAATTATGTAAAATTTGGTTTCCCTAAGATTAATACATTTTAATTATTAGCAATGTTGAATGAACCCTTTTTTATTTGAAGGAAGAGCTTCGATTGGCACTCTTAAGTAATCAAGCAGAGGAAAATCTTTTTCTGGATCGGGTAATTTTATTGCTATATTTATATTTCTTTCTTCAACTCTTTTAAATTCTGTTTTGTTCTATTTGTGCTTTTACTCATTCTGAACTTGACCATGTATTATTTGTATTTTTATTCATTGTGGGTGAAGTTTTTAAACTTGGCAAACATGATTAATGGATTAACAAGTATATATTTTTGTTATATTAATTTTTTAATTATTTTTAATTTATTTTATAGGGGTATGTGTTATTCTTGTTAAATTACTGGCGTATTAAAATTTTCACAGGCTGTGGATTGGATAATTTTCCTATTAATTGAGTTGATATTGGGATTTGAGATGCTTTCTTCATTCATTTTGAGACTGAGGGTCTTTGTAGTGGGATAAAATTGCTGTCTCATATACGAACAAAGGCTTGTTTCTGATGCAATGGTTTTAGTTAATCCAGCATTTAACTTTTGTTAACAAAATCATGTATGAAAAAAAATTTCCTTAATAATTTCATGAGTTTTTCTATAATCATCATGCTTCCATGAACCTTTTGTGAAATTAGAACCCAAAATATTGTCAAACATGAGTTGCTGGAGTTTCAGTTTTACTCTGTCTGGCAACCACCTTATAGTTTTATTTCATTTTTTTGCAAACTTTTCCTGTTAACAATTGTTATTTGCCGACAGCAGTGTGGCATGTTGGTATAGTATTGGACTGTTAATTCCAATTACTTCAATCTCAAATACCAAAAAATTATTATATATTTGAGCATAAATTTTGTTCTTGAGATAAAATACAAAATATATATGATTCGTAGTCAGCTTAGATGATATTTTGTTTATGATTGTACATGCTGAATAGGTTTTACATGTTTCCTGACTTTTGCATTCGATTATTCATAGCCTAGGCAAGCAGATTGAAAAATGTTTTCTTTCTTCTTGTATTTAACTTGAATTGAAAATAAGGGATAGAGTTAATTGAGCAGTACACAAACATTATCTGCCTACAACATAATTATTTGTCACCTTTTCTTTTAATCAGTGATCCAATGAGTTAATTCAATGATGAACCATTATGCTTCTAGGTATTTGATCTTTTTTATGAGAAGAAAAATGGTGTCATTGACTTTGAAGAGTTTGTACATGCACTTAACATTTTTCATCCTTGTGCCCCTACGGAGGACAAAATTGATTGTAAGTGAACAAGAACCTTTTCAGTTGTCTACTTTGTAGAATTAGGCTTGAGACATGTTAAACAACATTTCTTTGTTCTTTCCTCTGGGTTTCTTGCAGTCTCATTTAGGTTATATGATTTGAGACAGACAGGATTTATCGAGCGGAAAGAAGTGAGTATGTCAATTTGTTTAGACTAGTTCAGACTGGATGGTTTTGTCACTGAACATGGATGAAAACAATTGTCTGGGTTTTTGCTAGGTTTCTTCATGCCAGTAAGGATTTGTAATCAAAACTATGTCTATGATGTTAGTTGGTATCAAAGTTTATTTCCATTGATCTTACTGCTACTTAATGAGTTTGAACTTTGGTTATATGGCAGTAAGGGTTTATTTATTTTTTTAACTGCCACTGACTGGAAGACTGTTTTTCATGCACAATTTTAAGTTTGATGAAAATGTGTTTGTTTGAGTTTATAGAATCCCCCGATGCAGTAAAATTTCTCTTGTATAATGATCTAACGACATTATTGATGTTTGTTTTCATAGAATAATTATATAGTAGATCAAAAATATTCTTTTGTTCCAAAATTAATTCCATTACCATCCCTTATCCATATCCTCACTAAAATTTTCTAACCAGCGTCCTTGGTTCATTGCATATGTACTTACTGTTTACCTATTGATCGGTGTGGTCATTTTCAGGTTAGGCAAATGGTAGTTGCCACCTTGTTGGAATCTGGCATGACGCTTTCATATGAATTTCTTGAAGTTATCATTGACAAAGTAATAATTTTCTATACTAGAACTTCCATCGTCTAATGTCTCTATAACTCCTACACTCATGCCGATATGTATATCCTTGTTCAGACATATGCTGATTCTGATGCAGACCTGGATGGAAGAATCAACAAACAAGAATGTAAAGCTTTTATTATTCAGAATCCCTTGATCTTGAAGAACATGACTCATCCTTATTTATAGTACTCATCCTTCCATGTCTTCGAAGCTTTTAGTATTAGATTTTGTAATGAATTAGAAATACTAGTAGTAATTATGACATATAACCTTTCCCTTCTCTAACGCTGTTCATATGCTATGCTAGGAACATCACTACAGTGTTTCCGAGTTTTATTTTCAACACTGAAGTTGATGACTGACCAGTTCGGCTCTATTTCTAGCAAGGGCAGTGTACTTCAGAAAGGCAGATCATTCTGCTGCTCCTGGCGGTATTTTAATTAGAGACTGTAATTGTACATGTATTCTTTGTCATTAGAGACTGTAATAATACGTTATTCTTGGATTTTTTTTATTTTGAAAGAAGATATGAGTCCTTACTCTTGAAATAAAAGATTCAGTTGTTATTAAGTCAAATAATTCAAATGTATCCATTCTTGACTTATTCATTTAAGGCCTTCTTGTCAATTTTCATATGCTCTGTATATTTATTTGATTGTCACCAAATATTTATCAGCATAATTATTTGCATTTTTCATTTTTCTCATTTTATAAGATGGCATTTTACTAAATATCATGACCCACTTATGAAACCTTGGCTTAAAGGCAAAGAATATCTTAAAGCTTTGAAATTCTAGATTCTAAGTTTGTTGTGTTGTGGGTGAATTTGATTGTATAATTATATTATAATTTATTAATTAATTATTCAATAATCATAATTTAATTATGATATAATAATTAATTATGATTTTAATAATTTTAAAAAAAATTCACGACCCCATTTCCACAATTTTTTTTTTACCTCACTTCCATACTTTTTTATTGTAAATTGTCATGACTAAAACATAATTATTGAAATTAAAATTCAATCTAATAACAGACAACATCACTGTTATTACTTCACGCCTTTTCCCTGACAATAACGTGGGGAGTAAATCAAAAGCTTAAAGATTGTCAAGCCAAATATCGCCGGAGTTAGACGCCCAGTGTAAGTCTTAAAAGTTGAATTATTGTGATAAAATCAGAAATGGAATAGAAGACTATGCCTCAAACTTACAATTTGATTTCAACATTCTACTTTATAAAACTGCCTTCATCTTTCCTTTTTGTCTACTAAAACACTGAATGAACAAGATAAGGAAACCCGTAACTCTAAATATAGGCTTATATATATATTTATATATATAAAAGAAGATTTTCACATTCCAATGACCAGTATGATTTTAAGTTAAACAAGAGAGATTCATGGCTATTGTTTACAAGACTATCTCAATACTACAGAGAAAAGGGGCAGAGAGTCTCTAGTTACAGCATTACATCAGCTTCAGTAATCAAAGTAGCAACACATGACACCAATTACCCAGGATAGGTGTGACATAGACTATGCATGATAAAAGGAAGTGGAGCATGAGATCATATCTGTTTTACACACAGACTTGAAAAAGGGAAATTCGTAATAGCTATAACCTAACATTATATCACGCAAAGAACACAAAGTTTCATTCCAGAATATATAACAAATCCAATTAGCTAGCGCAGGCATTCAATCTTGTACTTAATACTTGTTAGTAATTAGTGGCCAGCAAAAATTTTCTTTTTGAAAATAGAACGTGAGTTTTCTTCTCATACGTAAATGTTATAACCTGGAAAAAACAATTTTCAGAAATATATCACACATAAACCACCAAAAAATAAAGTTCGGAGATGTTAGCCAGTTCTAGGCTGGTTGGACATTCCATCTAACCAGAGATGAGCAAGACAGTAGCACATTTATGGCAATGCTGGCTGTGAAACAAGCATAACGTCCTTGGTTGATCATGCCAAGGAATTGTGATCAAAACCTGCAGTCACTAGAGATTGCAGGAGATCCCAAAATGGAATGGGGATGGAGGTCATTTGACTACAGAACATAAAGTACTGGCTGTCATTGTGTCACCTAACTACTTACAACCACCTTCGCAGCATAGCACACCTAAACTAAATAAAATCATACAACAAAGTTCCCTGCATCTACTTTAAGAAATGCACATATACCAATGAACGAAGCCAGCAAACCAATGAAAGGGGGGTGCGAAACAGTGAATCAAGTTGAGAAGAGGGGGCAAGTATTATATTAAGGGACTGGAAGAGTGAATTATAGAATTATCAAGTTTTTTATGGGAGGGGGGCATGACCCCTGCCTGCCTCCCTGGATTTGACTCTGCATGCAGACAGAAGATTATTTTTTCATCTTCTTCCAAGTTTTTCCGGAAGCACATGTAACTTTACCTCATTCATATTTCCTCAATCTCATGTAAGATATACCTGATCTTCTTTCTTTACCTTTTTGCATGAGATAAACCAGCTTCCCATCTGCAAACATTAAAAACAAAAAATTAGGAAGAATCTAGAGAATGAAATATCAATTTTCTGACTAAGTTGTTGAACAAACATGTAACAATCTTCTTTAGATCAGTAGTAAACAAGAAACAAGTTTATTTAACCACCAAAGTGATCTAAAGGAAACTACAATTATTTATTAACTGGTAGAAAAGAACTTGCAAGCAATGCACTAGCCAGGGAATCACATCTACTTCTGCCTCCACTTCTACAATCACATAAGCATCTTACTAACAAGATGACCATAATTAACAAATTGAGGCCACCCACAAGTTGACTCCTCATATACCTTCAATTGCATAAGAAAGCCCCAAGAAGCAAATAGCAACTCCATAATAATGTTCATATCCAACTGTCAATGCTCAAGTAAAAATTTACATAATAAAAATAAAACTATTTTTCTTCAAATTTTTAGTATGACGTAGGAAAGAATCCCAAAACTAAGGCAACTCTCATTGGATGAGATCAATGTACAGCCAGGAAAATTTTTTGAAGTCTGCTTCATCCAGCCAATTCCACATTTCACAGACTTTGTATGTAGGATAAAACAAGTAGTTTCTCCAACTAGTACGGTGTTCTAACTATAAAAACAAAATGATTCAGATCTAGATCTCATAAAGGATAAAAGGATAATAGCAGCTTGGTGTCAGAAATACAACACAAGTTTTTCACTTCCTCTAACAGCCTAGCGTCAAAATAATGTCATGATGCCAACAAAAATTTAGCTTCTGCTCATGATTCATCACTCCAACAGATTTTCTCTACATAAGTGCTCCATGAAATAGAAAAATATCTTATCTATTTAAAGAAACCACTCAAGTCATTCTTAAATAACCTCATAGATTGTTGCTCTGCACACTCCTTCCCACTTAAATAGCGAAGAGAAGCAACTACCATCAGCAGGGACACCATTTTTCTTGCCTTCTACACTACATATAAATTATTCACCAATTTTCATGAATATCTTAATTGTGAAGTACGTACTTTCAATTGAATCATATAAATCTAGAATTATCCAACCAAATCTTCCAAATAGACCTAACATCTTTTATCATCCTTGAGCACTTAGAATAAGATGTTTTCACTGCCAATCCAAGATTACTAATTCGGGCACATCCAAAGGAATATTTCACCACAAACTGGTAAATAAAGAGCCTGATAGCATGATAAGTCTTGGAAATTTTGTTTGCAGGAACTTATCCTCAGCCAAACCCTTGGCAAACGACAAACACATAGCCACTCATTTAACTATAAATTGATCAACCTGAAACCTAAGTCAACCAATGTGAGGTACAAATGCTATGAAACTTAGCAATGAGACGAGTATGAAAAGAGGCTCAATAAATTCTTCGAAGCAACAGTGCCATGTAACTACTAAACTCCACAGAAGCTTTCCAAAAAATCCCAAACCAAGTAAATTAAAACAAAAATATAAACTACTAATCCCAAATGAACCAATACTAGAAATGAACTTTTATAGGTCTATCTATATAAAGTAGGAAATGCCAAATTAAGAGGATGAAATCAAAGATGGCATGTCAGGAAAAATCAACGACAAAACAAACATGAAATTGAAGATCCAAGGAACTCATATAACAAAGACAGAAAACTTGCCTACATAAGTACAGATCAGTTGTCAGCCTCTTCCACATGGCATGCTCATCTTCCTTCAGATATTTTCAGTGTCATGTCATGTATAAAGGAGCCACTTGTAAGCATGTAGGGAGCTGGAATATGTTGATCACTGAATAACTTTGCAGAACAAAAAATGATAGCAGAGCTGTAGAGTTGCACCAGGAAAAACGGCAGATGATGCTACGGACATGGTATATAACTGCAGACCATGGCTATGAGATTTAATTAAAGGATGAATAGCAAACAATGCTTCATCCCATCAAGGAACCGTGATTTTTGTATTCAACCGCCATGTGTGCTTTGAAAGGATATACCCATGGCACTGGCCATTCATGGCAAAGCGCATTCAATAACTGACTAATATTCCAAAATCTAAACCCTTTTCTATGTATAAAACATATTGTACCTCATATTAGTGACCCACTGCATCAGCTCGATACTTGAAATCCCTCAATTATAGAATGTGGTCAAACTCTATCATAAATTCTCTTAAAAAACAAAGGAAAAACTAGTAGAACCCTACAGTTCATTTTTTATCAGCTAAACTTTCTTGTAATGTTGATAAACTTACAAGGACATGTTAACTATAACTCATTATGAGTAGTGATATTGTATGCGGAAATGTTTGCATTGGCCCACACTCCATCAGAGAAAAACAATTTTTACAACTTTCACCATCAGAGGAAATCATTAGTAGTTCTGCAAACTATATCCAGATTAATACTTTCTCCATCCAAGATACCTCAAGTCAAAACCAATTAAGATCATGCTCTTCAGCACATTCCCATGAGACCATAAGAACATTAGGAAATAAAAACTCTCGCACCAGTTTTCCATGTCATATACTCCAAAAAGGAAAATTAATATAAAAACCACTAATGATATCCAAACAAATTCTGCTCACACGCACCATGCCATTTTGAGTAGTCCCTACAACACTTGCAGTCCAAGCTTCCAACAGAACCATATAGCAATGGATACCAAAGGGACTTTACCGAAATTTAAGACAAATGATTCTCCTCAAAGATTTCCTAGCAAGGAGAATACCAGTGACCTAAAAGCAAAACAGCTAAAATTTGCAGCAACCATATTTCATATACTGCAACAAAGCGAATAAAAGCACAAGAAAGGGAAGCTCATGAATGCTCTAAATAGTTTACATCTAGAGCATGAGATCATTCTCACCATCCACAAGGATTGCCGTATCGCTTACAGATAAGAATTCAATCTCAAAGATTTCTATTCATGGTAAAAATGCAAATTATAACCTCCGGAATTACATACCAAAACTGCACATCTTGATTCTACAGAGGTACAAGGTCTCACTTCATCTCAGAAGGAATATCATGCATTCAAAATTTAACAGATGAACTCCAAACAGTCCATAAAGTGACCCTCTGAAGCAAGTTGAACCACATCCTCCCATCAACTTCTGCTTCCTAGATTAAATACTCAAAATGCACATATTCAGTGTAACATGCACTCAAGATGAACAAATCCACCTCCAATAATATCCAGAACATGATAACTTTCAATTTTCAAGAGAAATAGGCCCTCCACCAAAAACACTAGTATTCAAGTGGTGCACGAGACGGTCTAGTCACTAAAATCATCTACACTAAAACTAAAACGTAGAGTTTGTGCTCCATTGGACATTACATTATCTTTCTGCAGCTAGGCATAACTTCATTGCATCCTTCTAAAATCTACTATCAAACACAAACGGTTCCAATAATATTGCCAAATCAGTCAAAAAGGTAGCATGTATATTAACTTCTAAGTTGTAACCAAAAGCTTCATTCATAGGCCATAAATTTCAAATAGACCTAAGAAAACTACCCTATTCAAGGGCCAGCACTTCTACGAAAAGTAATATTAGTTATAATCAAGCAAAACGGCTAAAATAATTATTTAAAAACAAACAAAAGAAAAGAAAAAGAAAACTGGCAATGAAGAGTCGAACCCAATAGAATCCAAATTATAATATTAGGATCTCGTGTACATATAAGGGACAACACTTCCTCTACCAATAAAAAGAAAGCAACACAGAATCTTATATAAGAAGTTTAAGATGACTAACAATGTATTAAGATAAAAACTGATGTGGCATGCACACATAGATGATGAACTCCACGCTGATCAATATTTTGCACTTCATAAGTGGAGCAACAATGTTGCCTTTCTTCCACCAAGTAATAACTCTCCTAGCGACGAGTCATGCGAGGCTTCTCCCAAGAAGCAGGACCAGGACCATAAAAAGGACCCTTGTCAGCAACACCCTGTTAAATAATAACAAAATTTAATTGAAAAATATTACAATCCTGATGTAATAGCTTTATGGTCAAACAAATAAATCAAACAAGAAGATGAGCATAAATACCAGATGAGCCACATATCCTTCATATGGGGCTGGAAAAGCTCCCTCTGAACTGTTGAATTTCATCCCATATGGTCCAACAGGAGCTATCATTCATCAAGACATTGAGATTAGAAGCAAGGTAAAACAATGATGCACCAGAGTCGATACATAATATCAACTAATCCATTATTTTATCAACTCTAGACAAGAAGAAAAGAAGCGGAGAGGGAGCAAAATATAGTTACTATCATTCAATTGAGCAGACCAAAAGACCAAGGCAAAATCCAAGAAACATCAATGCAGGTTGAATGGAGTCCACAAGAGACACCCAACCATTTGAACTTCAGACTTTCCACTTAAAGGTCCCTAGTTCAAAACTTCAGAATTGAAAAAAGAGATGGGTTGGAGCATTTATGAGATGAGAGAAGATGAGTCCGTTTGTGTAGTCCAAGGTACAATGGACCCCCATACGTACACAGAAAGATGTGAAGGTCCAATGAACAGTTGAGAATTTTTCTAAGAGATAAACTCCATTATATACAAGGGATGAAAACTAATGAAAAGCCAGCAAATTAAACAACAAACATCACACTACTCAAGTTTGAAGAAGAAACTTCAACCAGAAAGGCAAAAGAGAGATAGGTCATACCGGCAGCCCATGGTCTACCATCCACATTGGCAAGTTCTGCACGTAGCTTTTCAACTTCACGTGCCATGGAGACCATGTTCTTCTCCATTGCTTGTCTCTGTTCCATCAGCTCAATATTTGCCTTCTTTTCAAAATCAATAGCCGTCCTTTGAAATAAATTACGAAATTAGCATTTAAATATATGATTGGATATAATAATGTGACGCTGCAAGTTAAATGCTCAATGAAAAGGAAGCACTTTCATTTGTTTGGAAAATTTTAAAAATAGAAGGGTGAAAAAGATTAAGGTATATACCTTGCATGCATCAGCTCCTGGTGCAGGCCATCAATTTCTGCTCTTAGAATAGGTATCTGTTGATTATCAGCTTGCAGCCTAGCAACATCTTGCTTGATAGTCTGAACTTGGCCAGTTAGCTCCTGCTTAACATTATTCAGTTTCTGAACTTCTGCACGGAGTTGCACAGCCTCTTTTTTCAATGGCTCAGTTGCACGGAGATCTGCCTCCAGTTTCAAGCCTTTCTCAATAAGTCCCCTTGAGTGCAGTTCTTGTTCTGCACGAATTTCACCAATGACAAGGTTTAAACGATGAATTTCTTCCTTTGCAGCAGCAAGCTCTTGTTGTATAGCCATTCGATCTTCCACCAGCCTGCGGTTATCAGTCAAAAGCCTACGAATTTCTACATGCTGCATTTCAAGTTCTTCCTCCAACAACACAGGATGAGGAGGTGGTTGTGGCAGAGGAGGACCACGAAGGAAAGGTCTTTCAGGAGGGAATCCTCGCCGGTCATTGAAGGCTTCACGAGGAATGCGGTTTCTCCCAGCCATTTTAAATTATTCTGGGAAAAAGTAACACAATTGAATAATTTTATAGTCAGGTTTTAAGGATATTTGAATCACTTTAAAAATCAGCTATTATGAATATGGTAATGATGACAGAATTGACACATACTCGCATGTTCACACAGAATCTGTCAATCAGAGTCTTAATAAAATTTATGAGGTCTACTACCAAGAGGAAAAACAATACATTAACTCACAACAAATGGCTACTGGATCTAAAAGATTTTCCATAATTAATAACCAGATGAAAAGAAAGATGCAGCTCAACTGAGTCTCCCATACAACTATTCAACAGAATTTAGATGAGTCATATGTAGAATACCAAGAAACAGAAGCAACAAAGCCAGAATTTTTTATTGATTTTCTAAGTTTCAATTAAGAGTGTTGATTAATAGACCTTTTATGAACCACCAAATCCCCTAATCCATACACTAAAGGCGCCAACACAAATTCAACCTTAAATTCCCATAACAAAACATAATCAACATCATGTTCTAAACTCCTATGGCAGACATTCAACAATAAAGCTACCATTGTTCTTGATTGAGCCCCATCAATTCCAGAAAAAAAAAAAAAAAAACCCGAAATCCCTCAATTTCCCATCAAATACCAACCTCCAAAACCCTAGAAACCTTAGTCCAACTTAAACCAACCTGAAGTTTCTAATCATCTATTTGACTATTTTTAATGCAATATTAAGTTCTCTTTTATCAAATTCGGAAAAAATATATAAACATAAATACGCAAAAAAAAAAAAAAAAAAAACAAGGACGAAGATCACAACAATAAATTTACATAAATTAGATTTAAAAACCTAAATTCCCAATCAAAACAGTGAAAAAAAGAGAGGAAAAGCTAATTTTTTTCCACTTACTTGAGCACAATTCAACTATAAGGGATCAGATTGAGAAAAAAAAATCCCACTTCTTTTCTCTAGGTCAACACCGTTTTGCCTGAAACCAAAACAGATAATTAAGCAAAAACTTGATTCAAAAAATGAAATAAAAAAATTTATCTGGGAAAAATCAGAGTATAATGCTAATCAAATAATAAATAATAAGAAGAAGAAGAGAAGAAGAAGAATTGAAACCTGTGACGGGGATATGAATGATAAAGTAGGGTTTGCGAAAAGGGACTTGATTGAAATAATAGAAAAATATATTTTTTTCCAGGTGATTTTATTTTTATTTTTATTTTTATTATTTTTTTTTTTTTGGGGGTAGAAAATTTAGAGGAAGAGAAGGTGTTAGCTGAGAGCTGGCCAAGATTGGCGTTTTACTAGATATGAAAGAGAATAAGTTCAACGGCGCCGTATTAATCATGCTACTGATCTGCTCGCCTCGGTTTTCATTTTTCAACAGAAAGTTCCGCTTGTTTTGTGTGAAAGATTTTTTTTTTTGGCAGAATAATTTCCTTTTCATTATTGATTCTCATATAAAAAATTTCAAAAAATAATTTCAAAAATCTTTAAACCTTTTTTCTAATATTGAAACAACAATGCAGAACCATTGTTTCTTTCAAGAAAAAAAAAACAAAAGAAATACCACCAAACTATTCATTCACATTCACAGGTATAACTTACAATTGTAAAACTCAACCCTTATTAATCATTTGAATTAAATTATTAAAGTTCCGTTGGATGATTTTTTTTATTTGTCTTTAATTTTTATTAATTTTATTAAAAATTAAAAAAAAGGCATTTAAGGATATATATATATATATATATATATTTATTTGTTACATGGGTACATATAGTTTCCTTATTATTCATTCATCCTAAAGTAGCTACTAAGCCTTTCGTCTTTAAGTAACCAAAAATGGCATACGAGGCTAGGAAAAAGCTTACATAAAATTTCATAGACGAAGTTTATAAAATTTTTTATTAAAAATCAATAAATAACATTAAAATAAATAATCTAAATTAATAAATTAAAAGATCTTATCACATAAATTAAACGTATAAAATTTAATAATTTTTTATATATTTATTAAATAGACATTTTTAATAAAAATATTAATAAAAATTTTACTATTGAAAAAATATGCATCAAAATTGAATTATAAACAATATTTTCAATAATTTTTTTACATATTATTGATTTTCACAATAAATTTTATCAATCTATCGGTTCAAAATTTTTATTTATTTATTGTTTATTAAACTTCATGAACTCCACCTATCTAACTTCATGTAAGTTCTATCCTATGATATTAATGCTGACACATGTTAGCTAGGGTAATCACTAGAATAAATAGATTGAATTCATATTTAATTTAGTTAATTTATATAATTATTTATAAAAATATTATTTAATAAATTAAAAAAATAAAAACTTTTGTAATATTTAAAGTTAAATTTTAATCATTAAAATTAAAATTTTAATATTGTATCAATAAACCATTAAACTATGAACAAAAGTTACTCGTCAAATTTCAATATCTACCCTTTCTTTTCATATTTGTAAACTGCTATCTCTATTAAAAAGATTAGTAAAAGATCAATTAGAGAAAAATAGGTTAATCCTGATGACAATCACAACAATTAAGATGAGTGGGAAACCAAATGCTTCATTTTATTAATTTAATTATTTTTCAGAAGAGATGTCAGCCTTTGTCTGTTTAATTGAAAATTGCACAGTTGAGTGACGGATTGAAAAAAGAGAAATGGAAGAAATTTTCTGCCAAAAATAAAATCAAATAGAAAAGATAATCCTAAGTCGCTACTTACAAAACAAAAGGTGGTTTATTGACTATGTATAAGTCACGTCCATATATTTTTCTTTGATGACAAACCAATAGGAATCTGCCAAATTCTATACGTAACTCAACCCTAAATTCCAAAAATGTTCTTGATGTTAGGTATATGTTGAGATGCATGCATGGCAGGATAAAACTTCTCAGAGAAATTAAAGAAAGCTGCACAAAGATCCTGTTGTCCACTTAAAATACAATTATACAGATTATGTAAACTTCAACAAAAGAGAGAAACAGACAACTTCCATGCCCAGTTTTTTTTTTTTTTTGAATTTCCCAGTTATGTGAAAGGAACCCAGTCTAGAAAAGTTTGAAACTACATCAATATGATTCAATACTGAAGCTTTTCATCCACCAATTAGCTTACTTATTGTAATTTAAATTGAATTTCATATATAAAACTAATTGTTTTAGAAATGTCCTTTGTTAAGTTGGAATTGTGGAACTCATGATCATCATTTATGATTTTATTTCCCCGGCCACCAGTCTGTCATATCTTGGAGAAAATTATTTAGTCTCGACAAATTGTTATATCTTGACAGCCATGTTAATACCATCTTAATTGCCATCTAGTGTCTACACAGTATTTTAAAATAAATAATTATCTATCTAATTAATTACATTATCATTTACGAGATATAAAAGAGAGAATCGAATTAAACATGCATTTTTTTTATTCTACTCTTTTTTATTTTCTCTTTCATCGTCTCTTTTTATTTTTTATTTCTTCGAGTAATTTAAATATTAAAACACGTCTTAAAATATTACTTTAATCATTCTCTAAATGTTTTTTTATTTTATTTTTATGATAAGATTGATGTGCTCTCTATCACAACCTCTAGCCGACTTCTCTCTCACTAATAATTAAGATCCAAAATTACATTAACACCAATAAAAAGAATAAGGTAAAAAAATAGACTAACTTGATATAAATAACCTTCTTCATTTTATTATTCTTACTGTGGTACAAATTGCTAATGGTGAAAAAACAAGAGGGACAGGGCAATTAATGCAAGCTCCAGGGATAGTTTATGGGTCCCATTAAAAAAAATTTACTTAGACTTTTACGTCCAAACATGTCTAACTTGTCAGTGCTCCGACCACACGTGTACACTGTGGCTGAAAACTTTTTTGTTTCTTTACTTTGCTTTGATGTTTTTCATGCCGGGTTTTGCTTTTATATCATTGTATTGAATTTGGAAGTTTCTGCTTAAACTTTTCTTAGCCAAAGGCCAAAAGCAGGTTTAGGTTTGCTAGGAGTCTTCCCTTCTTTTGACCCAAACCGGCATTCTCTTCTTCATTCTCACTGTTGGAAAGTTGACAATTGTGTCATCATCGGCCACCCATCTGAAATATTTTAAGTTCAGATAATTCATCAGTTCAAAAGCAACAAAAGCAGTCAAAACATTAGGGGGTGAGACCAAGATCACATGTTACATTATTTATAATCTTTTTGTAGCTAGGTAAAGAAAAATATCTAGCCTCATACCTGATGGAAAAGAGCCCCTATAGATAGTGAAATTAAATGCTATAAATCAAGTTTTTATAGGATAGAGTTTTAAAAATTATCGAGATCAGAGAGCATTCATTGGTGGTCTAAAGTCTAAACCCTAAAATGCATGGCTATCGCACTGGCATCTTTCTGTAGGTACACCTTTTTGTATTATAAGCTAGTCTTGGTACAGGCATTATATATAATCAATAAAGTCGGCAAAGACTAATATATGCTTGATTTGATTAAAAATGTTATGTGCTCTATGCATTTGACCAAAGAAAAATGAAATTTAGAAAATGCCAAATCCAAAAAGAAATTGAGAAAAGTGACCCCATGAATTGAATGATTCTAATTAATCAAGTTGGTCATGACCACATGGCACATGTGCTTCAAATCAAGCCATCAAGGGGAACATTAGAGATTTTTTCAATTTGGATTTTCAGCTGAAAAATGGCTGCAAATTTTGGTATATATCTTTAGTACATGATTTTGTCAGTGTGCAATGGTCTGGAAAAGATGAATGGATTATGGTTTTGATGGTCATCACATGTGAAAAATACCATCAAAAGGACAGAAAGTTTAGTGTCTTTTGTTATGATTTTGTCTCAACTAGAGATCATGTGGTAAAAGTGAAGAAATAGTAAGTGTTTAAGTGTGCATGACAGCCTTCAAAGATGACTTCCCTGATTTTTCCCTAATTATAATGTAAAAATATGGGAAATATTGAAAAAGGCCTATTAACACTTATTAAGATGATGTTTATAGAAAAAAATTGCAATTAATATTGTTTATTTTAAATCTAATAGAAATAATATATTGAATGAAATTTTTTTAAAAATAATATTTTACTTGAACCTTTAAAAAAATTATAGTTGGGAGCGTACGTTACCTGAAATTAGTGATAAAATGGTGTAAAAAAATGGAAGCTTCGAGCCTGGCCAAGTCAAGTCCAGGACACAGCCTCTGTCCACCTCCAAATGGAGTGAAGCTGTAGCTGCTAACCATGTCTTTCTCCTGTACATGATGATGAGTCCCCATATGTCTGTGAGTCTAATGCTAAAAGCAAAATTAGACGATAACAAGAGACAAGCCACTTTAATTAATTTAACACCAAAAGGAAATCATTAAAAGAGTTCCAATAATTCTTACTTTCCACCTCCATGGATTGAACTGATAAGGCCAGTCATAGTGATTTTCATCAAGATGAACTGATCTAAAATAAGCAAAAAAGCACCATCCTTTTGGTATCAGATACCCTTTTATCTCAATGTCTTTCATGGCCTTTCTCATCACCCCTATGATTATGTTTCCCATCCTTAGAGTTTCTGTAATTACCTGCTTAAACATACATATAATGCATGTTAATTATTGAAGCAAATAATTTCTTAATTAATTTTAATGGTTGAAATAGTACTTACATTTTGTGTAAAAGGTAATGATAAGTAATCACTCCAAATCAATGGCTCTCCTTTCTGAGCTTTCTGCCTTTTCAACTTCATGTTTTCCTCCTGAGAAATTTTCAGATCAGTTGATCAGAAAATTAATTAGCTAAATTATAATAAGTAGTATATGAGTTTGCTGCTTTATCTTAAAGTTGCAGATTTTGGGTGGATTGCATTAATTTTTAATTTTTAATAATATCAAATCCAATGATATTTAATTCTTATAAATTAATAAATATTAACTAAAAAAATGATTTCAAATCATAAGTGATAAAATCACATTAATAATAAAATTATCTCAATGATTATATTATAATAATAACATTAAAAATGATACCAAACGTTATCCCAATATTTGTATATATTTGATTTTCTCGATGGATAAAAAAAAACTTATTACCGCAACAATATTTTCAAACCAACGAACCAATCAGTTCTAATATTAAGCCTGACAGTTGTGACAAGATGGTCAAATAATAACTAGTGGCCAAACAAACACTTCCCAATCAAATCACTATCGACAAGGAATCTCACAGTACCCCAAGAAAATCCTAAAGGATCTTATTAATTGTTGACCCCAAGTCAAGCAGACCAACGTCATGATCATAGCAAACCAATTACTCTAGTATATGATGTTGGCATTATTTTCTAAAGGAAAAGAAGTGATATGATATATATTGCTAAAATGATTAAAATTTCTCATGTTATAAATTTTGTTGACTCATTTAGTTACAATCATAAAATCTCAATTAATATCACATTTATTAATGAAAAAATAATTTTTTCAATAAATTAAGAATTTATAATTATAATTAAACCACGTCAAAATTTCATGATAAATTTTATTTTATATCAAAACTCATATAATTGATTCTTAAAAAGAAAAAAGTGCTTACAGTCAATCGATGTAGGGCAGCAGGACAATCTGAAAGGTATTTGATTGCAAGAGTCATTAGGACAGGCACTGAATCTTCACCAGGAATCATCATATCAATCATGTTATCTGCTATTAGATCATCTGTTAATAGTTCACTATCATCCTTGAGCAAAACGTCTACCACATCTTTCGGAACTTTTGAGCTCATGCCTGAATTCCTTTTAGATTCGATAATTTTGTGTACGATCTTAACCATTCTCTTCTTTGCCTGAAATTGGCAAAAAAAAAAAATTCAACACAGTTTCCCTTCTTAGATTCCCATTTTTACGGAACACTTACATAAAGAGCAATGAAATTTTAATATGCAATAATCTTGCCTGCAAGGATCGATAAAGTTGACTTCCGGGTACTTTTACAGGTAAAGACATGAGGCCTAAGATGAATTCTTGGAACTGTTTCTTGAGGAGTTCCATTTCTTCACCTGGATTCAAACTAATCAATGCCTTGACTAGTACTTGAAAGGCAATCTGGAGCAAATAAAAAAAGGCTTTTTTTTTTTACTAACTTTTCAAAAGGATTATATGAACAAATCATCATGAAGCATATTTCTCAGACAAAATGATTCATGCAAAATGATTGTAAACAAATGATCTTAACTGGGTTGTTGTTCACTTTCCAGCAAAAAAATATATTTAAACTTTAGTAGAAAAAGAGAGAGAGTGAGAGAGAGAAATAGAAGAGTCTGTGTGCACGTGTGTGAATTTTGTCTGTGTCTGGTGCTTGTTTTTCCTTGTGTTGCATATGAAATTGAACTCCATTGAACTTAGAAATCAAGAAGAAGCCAGCTATGGATTTAAGATAGATGGCATCTTTTGTTTTATCCTGTGTCTGGGTATAGGAACACTTATCAAAAAGTTATCCTAAAACTTTGAAAGGGAAACAATGGCAGAGAACAAACTTCAATGAAAAGAATATTTACTTACTCAAAGAAAGGAAGAAAGAGAGAGAAATTGAAGGCACTAACATTTTTGGTCTCATCTTGTATGTATATGGGATGATCATCTCTCCATTTATCCATTGTTTGTTGTACATAATTTTGCATGTCTTTAGTGATCTGATGTTTGAGATGTGGGGACTTAAAGAAGGATCCGATGAGACCATGGATTTTCCTTTGTAAGCTTCCATTTATTTGCAGAATGGAGGATTTTCCCATCAACTCAGTTAAGGATGTCGGATAAAAGGGAACGAAAGCCTTTGCATCACTTTGTAGAACAACTCGACTCACTTCTGCATCTGTGGAAACAATAGTTGGAGTCCCAAAAATGTGTGACTTGAACACTTTTCCATACCTACAAAAACAACCCAAATATGTAGAAATTACACATGGAATGAAAAGAAACCATATTCTTTTTTATTTTGAAGAAACATAAGTAGGAAACCAACTTTAACCACAGATCAATTAGCTGAAGAAGTAATTAATTGATTACTTAAAAATCAGTATGAACAAACTCAACTTGAAAAAAAAAAAAGCTGAGAAATCAACCTATGTATAGTAGTAGCTAAAACTTTACCTGAGGCGACGGCAGTCCATGAAGCTCTCAGGGCGGTCTGAGTAAGCACAAGATATGAACTCAATGGTTTCCCCAACAAAAGGCCATCCCAGAGTGCCTAAAGGAAGCTGGCATGAGTTTTTGGGTGAGGGTATTGATCTGCTTAACTTGCTTTTGCCTTTGCTATAGACCAGAAATATGATGCAAAATAAAATTGCTGTCACAAACACAGTAATCCACAATGAACTCTCCATCATGAATGATTTTCTTCTCCCTCTCTCTCTCTCTCTCTATCTCTCTCTGCTTCTCTTAAATACCCTTAGATTGTACTCTCACACCAGCATCAATATGCAATTTTTTTATTCATTTGTGCTGCGATGAAAATATGAATAGATGAAAATATGATATTCATGTGCACGTGTACGCGTGTAAGAAAAAAAAAATGGAAAAAGGAAAGCGAACGAGGGTGTGAGAGAGAAAAGGATCGAAGCATTGAATCCAGTTGGCTAGCTAGGGAGAGAATAATGTTATTAGTACTGGGGCCGGGAGATGAATCATGCATGGATATAAAGCGAATTGGAATTGCAAATCAATGAGGCAAAAGCATCATATCATATATTGACAGAGGCCCGGGTAGGGTCGGGATGCTTTTGGAGAGCACTTATTTTCGACACCTTTCCAATATTTGATGCTCACTTCTAGCTAAAATCATAATGTTGCAAATGAACATAAAGCATGGTAATTATATAAGTTAAAAGGTAACTTATTCTCTTAATAAAGTTTAAACACCTTAATAATTAATTTCAAGTTAGGTAAAAAAACATAAATAGCATAAGGTTAAAGATGCTAATTTGTAAGATATGAGACAAATAAAATATTTTTTATTCATATTTTTAAATTTTTATATTATATTCATTTTTAAATTCATATTTAATAAGTATTTTAAATTTATTTTCATCTCAATCCTCACAAGATATTTAATGTGTATGATGAGTAATTCCTGTATATATAGCTTTTTAAAAAAATTTAAAAAATTTTAACTTTTTGTTATTTTCATCTTATATATTTATGTAATTTTTAAAAATATATGAATATATATTTTTTAAATAAAAATATATTACTTTTAATTAATTTAAAATAATAATTTATATTATTTAATAAAAATTTATTTATTAAAATATATAAATATATATGTAGAATATAAACATACGTACAAGACAGATGTTATATTATTCATTTTTATTTTTAAATTTGATAAAAAATTTAAAATCATATCCATTTTCATATATATTTCATAATGTAATTATTATTTTCATCCTCATAAAAATTTAAATTTTTATTATATATAAATTAAATTAACATCGCTATGTTATATAACCTAAGAAATAATATAAAAAAATCAAATTTAAGTTTTATAGCGTACCAGTGTAAAAAGCAATTTTTTATGATCGAATTCAAGTCAAGGTTAAATCAAGTTGATTTTACTGTTTTTTTCAAAAATGTGATATTTACAAATTTAAAATTAAAATCATAATATTAATAAATTTTTTTATTCACGGGTTATGATTTTTTTTAATATATATATATATATATAATTGAATAGAAGTACAAGAAAAAGCACGGAATAGCATAAAATCTTGTTCAACTAACATTTTTAATCGTACGAACACATGATTGATTGCTATTTATAGGAGGAAACAATTTTGTCCTCTCCCACCGGGATAGAGCTCAAACTGTTCAGAGCGGGTCGGAAAAAAATTACTCAGACAATTCGTATCTATACGATTAGTTTGAAGATTTTATTCAAAACTGTGAGGTATTTTAGCACTTTGATTTAAGATAATAAATCTTCGAATTATTGGTTTGAAAGCAAGACGATTTGTCATTATAATAATAATAATAATAAGAAAGAAATCCCCAATTGAAGTCATAGTGTCTTCTTTGCGTATTAATACTATAACAAAAGTGAATGGAAATCGGAGTGGAACATGTTGGGAAAACATTCCCACGAATGATTTTTTTTTTCTTTACATGGCCCCTATGGGGAGAGTATGGTTACAATTATGGGTGGTATGAGCCACAATAATTGTTACCAAGGTAAAAGAAAAGTGAACAAAAAAATTATTATTAAAGAAATTTTTTGACGGAACATAATTATATAAATTCATGATCAAATAAATTATTTTAATCTTAAATTAAATCACGATAAGTATTATATTATGATAATTAAGTAACATAAAATATATATTGGCATATAACAGAGATGGAGAAGAGAAAGAAGTGGGGGGAATTGAAGTCCCAACATTAAAGTACTCCATGATTGATCTCGTGGAACTGTGGTATGATGAGAGGCGTCGTCCCTTCCTCAATTCCTTTGCAGGTGCAGGGGCAGCAGCATGCTGGTTGGCCTCATGCTTTCATGTGAGATTCAATTAGTCCAACCACATTCTCTCCATCATCTTCTATTTATTTTTTCCTCTTTGCCTTCTTCTTTCTCTCAACTTTTGTTTTGTCCTTTACTCTTTCTGTGTCCAATGAAACTATCACCCAATCCTTAGATACAATATATACATTCATAAAAATCTTAGGCCAGCCTCTTTTGATACTTTCATGCCTATCCCTTTATGATTTAATTTATATGGGAGAGGCCACATGCATGTGGCTACCTTTCTTTATATACCAAAATTACTTCAAATTGTTGTCAATCTGTCCCTATTGCCTTCCCTTAATCTAATAAACAAACAAGCTAATGCTTTTGAATCAAAAGAGAAATGGGTGATCATAATTGGCCTGAAAAACAGCCTTAAACATGGATTGGATTAGCTATGAAACAGAGCTTTTTCTAACTTTCAAAAATCTTCCTTTTGACTGTTGTAAGAATTTTATTCAATTAAATTCATTACAGTGGCCCCGATTTCTTGATTGGCCATGCAGTAGTATTTTAATTTCCTAATCCTCAGGTTCATTCCATGACTTGCATTTTGTCCATTTGTTCAAACAACCTAACTAATTATGATTAAGTATCTTATTTAGTAATTTATTAATTGAATTTAAAATTTAATTCAGTTGATCTATACAATCATATTTTTAAAATAACATTTAATAAATTTGAAATTCAAATCTCACCCTCAATAATTCTTTTTCTCATTTTTAAAATGTGATATTTTTTATAAAAAAAAATTATTACTTTAATTTTTCATATCATGATTACACCAAATTGCTTTGTTGATCATTCGGCTTTCTCTCTCATGTTTTTTTTTATGGGGTTGTATTTGTTTAATTCTACCATATCTTTTAAGACACCTAGAGAATAAATTGGATATATTTGATATATTGCTATGTATTCTCTGAAAAGTTAAAGAATTAAGAAACCTTAGATTATATTCATATTAGGTAGTAATTATTTATTAGGGGATATTTGGGGGGAAACAAAGATTGATTTTTTTAGCCTGTTAGGTAGTTTGGTTTTGGAATGTTGCATATATGCTTTGCATTTGAACGAATAATTTTTGCATATTAAGGGAAGGAGGGGTAGGGGTGTCCACATCCTTTTGGGAAATTGTGCTTGTTTTGCATAGTTGTCTTAGGCCCATGTGAATCTCTACACCTTAAAGTTGGAGAATATGCTTTCTTTATCTCCATAATTTTTTTTTTTTTAAAGGAGACAGCCAACGAGAATGATAATACTCTATTCCATTACTATGAAAATGATGTTAGACCCTCCTCACAAATGATGATATCAAGATGAAATTCTGAGCAAATTGCAAATTGAAAGGAGAGAAAATGGGTTTTAAGGTTGAGAAAGCATGAACTGAAATCTAAGCTTTATAAACCAGAAGGATTGGAAGGCCAAAATTTACTCCACCAAGTTTTGGTGGTGCATGAATCACTGCTATTTTACATTGTCCAAAAAATGGGAAAATAAACCATATTCTTGTTTAAATCAACAAGGACTTGCCATCAAGTTGAATAATTTAGGTTAATCAAACAGATCAGTCTGACTGTGCTTCAAGTTCAATTCACTTCTGGAAGTCTGCTGGGTGGAAGCCAGCCGATGGTTTAAAGAACAGAGTAAAGACTCAAAAGTGGCAGTCATCTAATTCTAATCACCAATTATTCATTGCAGATTTAACAGTTGCAGACTAGGCAATAATGCCTGAAATTTACATGGCGACAATTGTATTGGGAAAGTACTTGTCAAGAAAATGATACAATTTCTAGCAGATTTCACATAACTAACAGAAAACTTGAAATTCAAGAAACCAAACTTCCAAAATTCTGAAAGAAGGAAATATCCATGTTTGGACAAAGCCTATCAGTCATATCTTAGGAATGGATTTTGCTCGAATAAATTGTTTGAGTATAGCTTTCTCTTCATCAAGGCGCTTCTTCTCCTCTGGATCTTTCGGTTTGACTTTCCTTTTCTCTTCCAATATATGCTTAAAAAGTTCAAGCTGCTGACTGTCTGGAATAGGTTCAGGCAACTTCACAGGTTGTGTGATGGATGGTGCAGGTATTGGCTTTTCAGTAACTGGAGGGGCAGTGAAAGTTGTAGTTGAAACAGGAGTTGAACCTACATCTCCTGCTACATCTTCTTCCGTTATGCTTGTATCCTTTTTCTTTGTTCTCATGAAAAGGTAAGCTGCATTAATCATATAAATTTCTATCAGCCGAGTAGCAAATCATGTTTCTTAAAAATTACATTGTCAAGAATCTCAAGAACCAACCTAAAATCTCCAACATTCACAAGTTCGGCAATTTAAAAATACACTAGCATTAAAAAGTTGAGTTAGGACCAGGAAAGGGTGGGGGGTTTAGAGAGAAGGAAAGAGCAGGTGTCATAAGTTGGTGGGTGGACCACAATACATGTATGATTCTGTGAGAAAAAATAATATATCAACTGGTAACTGAACCAGATGCCACGATTAAAGAAGCAAGTGATTAGTGCTAATTACTATAGCCCGACAACAAAATACAATTACGATGAGCTCCTCAAGATGTCAACTAAACATATAGAAAAAAAAAAAAGCATTTATCACTATCAAAGACAGCTAGTTCTGTTTGCATCTAAAGGTCATTGTCATTAACTATTGGTAACTATCAGAACATGAGACCGAAAAAAAATCCAGAACAACCACGGTTAAAGAAGTGAACTATTAATGCTATTATTACTGCCTAACAACAAAAAGCAATTAAGATATGCTCCTCAACTAAACAACATACATAGGAAAAAAGTTTATTACTTATTAACAACAGCTAGCTCTATTTTCATCTAAAGGTAATTACCATTAACTATTGTAATGATCAAAACCCGACACTCAAAAATTCCAGAACAATGCATCAAGATATCCTTTATTACCAATAAGGAATTGCTCATTTTACTCTCATTTAAATGTAATTCAGGATCTCTGTCGGTAATCATCAGAGCATAGAACTAGAAAGAAAACCAAAAAGCACTAAAGAAATGCTTTCACTGATTACAGATTACTAGTTCAACTTTATCTAAAAGAAATTGCTGTATGAACACCATAGCAACCAACTACTGCAGAAATCCCCCCTTAGTTAACTTATGACTAATACAGTTTGCAACATATCACTGTAATGTTGATGTGCATGTCAAATCAATCAAGAGCTTTCAAGCAGTGCAGGGACAAATTGCATATAATTTGACTCATCATCATCATTATAAGCCCCAATGAATATGGAGACAATCACTCCATAATACTTGGTGCTTTAGTTTGTAACTATGCATTTAAGAAAATACCATAACATGGTGTTTGCTAGCAAACTTACACTAATCCTCAAAATGAGTCCTAGTTACTAAAAATGCTTAGCACCATCAATTCATACACAGTGATTGTACACTTAAAGATTACGCTTTTTCATCTCTGTAAATAACCAAAATTCCACTTTTGTGTGAATACCAGAGAAATTAGCTAATGCTTCCACCTCTGTAGCTTAATTAAATATTTAAATGATTGAAAAATAATCTCCTTGGATGAAATTATCATAGTTTTAGAATGTGCCAACTCATCATCTCTACCCCCAAAGAAACTATTTCCTTTAGTTATCATAATAACTGTTCTATGTGAAGTTATAAAGAGTATGATTGGTCACTTAAACAGGTAAAAGATAAATTATTCTTGATCACACGGTCATCAGCTAAAGGTTCCATGATTGACAGCACTAATTTTCAAGCTAGACTTTCTTGGGATGACTTTACTAGCAGCACTATAAGCTCCCATCATAATTCAATATACTATTTGTCGTAAATCTTTCATATGTCAAAGTTTTTCAACACAACAAAAAGCCAATATCAGAATGATTGCAGAATATACAGATTTTAACAAAAATGAGTAATGGTAAACGCCTAGCAAATAAATGGAAATTCTTTGCTGCAAAGAGTCAAGAAAACTCCATCAGTGAGAAGCAACAAAGAAATGTGTAGTGGTAAATCACCCTATCCAGTTAAATGTACTAAAATATAACAAAAATACATCAGTGCTAAATGGTACACCAAAGTATTCTCCCAAACAGGGTAGAATAGACAAATAATTTATACAGCCAATACAAATGACTTAAGGTACATAGAAAGTATTTTACTAACATAAGTTGAAACGACTCCACAATATAAATTTAAGATTAGGTGCATTTTTTTCTTCAAGATATTGCTCAAGACGAATATGGACATCTCAATTTATGTTATTAGTTTCCGCACATGCATACTCTCAAATATCCCAATAAACTCATTTTCTATCCTAAGTAAAACCTCTAGATCTGATTATGATGACAGCTATCACCTACAAACATTATAATTTCCAAGTCATTCTGTACCTATGTAATACAATTATATCTAATTATGAGTTGAGCTATCACCTGATAATATTATAAATCTTAATTTATGTATAAAAGGATGGGAAATTAAATCTTAACACAGATAAGGACCGCACTTATAGAGCTTATTACTCTTGTCCTTACTGCAATAGATACACATCATCAAATGCTTATCTATAGATACAAGGAAGGGAAACTTCAACCTTAAAGTATTAATTTCCAATTCATTGTCCCAAACATAATTGAAGGAATCTTGACGGCCTTAACATAAAGCTCTTGTGTTGGTTTCTCACATGCAGAGAAACATAACCTTAAGCAATGCTATTTTGGAAGCTCAAAACCTATGAAAGTCCTACTAGAAACATAACATAATATGGGTATGGCTAAGTTATATGTATATATTACACCTCCTAAACATGCTAAACCAGGTATACACCTAATAGAAGTATTCAACAAGTAAAGAGACATTGGGATACCCTGCTATAGAGATATAGTTCAATAATAAATAATCATGCCTAACAAGATTCCTATGATCCTCTAGCAATGGAACGGATAGACTATCTACCAAATTTGATGGAAACTAAGGTTCTTAGAAAAATATCAGCAACTAAATATCAATTAATTCAACATAGGCATCCACTACCTAAACACAACACTTAGTTACGACCTAAGAAATATTTGTAATGCTTAAACATGCCAAAATCAATTATGAAGGAAAATATGTTAAATAACATTCAGCAAACTGACCATAGGGTCAATTTTCAATGTAAGCACTTATAGGTGTCATGCAGTGTTTATTGTTACTATCAAACACTTGACACAACAGATGATCAAAGAACAAAAAGGCCTAAAGTTAGCTAGAAAACAAAGAAGGAAATGACTGAATATAAAAAAAAATGTGTCACAGAACACCATGCATTCCCCAAAGTTATTAGAAAGAAACAACGAAAAATGTTAATAGCGGATGTACCATGTTTTAATATTTTACTAGGTGAACCTGTCTGTATAATGCAGCCTTTTATTAACTGTTAAAATACCACTTTTCTTGAGGGTATGTTTGCTAATTCAAAAGCATTTTCCAATGCTAATCAGAATGTTTAACATACACACACACGAATTTGGATGCTTGGTGATTTTATCACCTCTACTTAAGTTGCCAATCCTTAGCACATTGTGGCTATCCCTCATTGAAATTTTACCATTCTTGTTGCACAACGAGTGACAATCAAACGCAAGAATTAGCAAACAACATATAACCAACATATAACAACATATAACAACGAAAAATGTTAATAGCGGATGTACCATGTTTTAATATTTTACTAGGTGAACCTGTCTGTATAATACAGCCTTTTATTAACTGTTAAAATACCACTTTTCTTGAGGGTATGTTTGCTAATTCAAAAGCATTTTCCAATGCTAATCAGAATGTTTAACATACACACACACGAATTTGGATGCTTGGTGATTTTATCACCTCTACTTAAGTTGCCAATCCTTAGCACATTGTGGCTGTCCCTCATTGAAATTTTACCATTCTTGTTGCACAACGAGTGACAATCAAACGCAAGAATTAGCAAACAACATATAACAACGAAAAATGTTAATAGCGGATGTACCATGTTTTAATATTTTACTAGGTGAACCTGTCTGTATAATGCAGCCTTTTATTAACTGTTAAAATACCACTTTTCTTGAGGGTATGTTGGATAATTCAAAAGCATTTTCCAATGCTAATCAGAATGTTTAACATACACACACACGAATTTGGATGCTTGGTGATTTTATCACCTCTACTTAAGTTGCCAATCCTTAGCACATCGTGGCTATCCCTCATTGAAATTTTACCATTCTTGTTGCACAACGAGTGACAATCAAACGCAAGAATTAGCAAACAACATATAACCAACAGAAGCCAATAAAAGAATTCCATATTCAACAGAATATGGGTGTTCATCAAGTCTCAAACAGAATTATAGTTAACCAATATCATCTGTCGAAAAAATTCTCCAAACTATAAACCTCTTAAAACCTAAACTTTTTTTTTCCATCGAGAACAGAACCAAGCAATGCATTCAACTTAAACAAGCATAAAAATCAACATCCAAGCAAAATTAAAAAGAAGCCATTTAAACTACTCAGCATTAAACAATTTCAAAAGAAAGAAAAATGACCTCCAACAGTTAAGTTAATAGCCAAGAGAAGAGGCCAAAGAAACTTGTAACGCCTTGCAAACGATTCCTTGGGAGGCTGAGGTGGTGGTGGTGGCGGACCCATTTGATATGATGCTGCTGCACCTGATGATGTTGAAGCAAAATCCTTTCCTGTATGTTGCTCTTGAAATTGTTTCAATTTAGCTGTAGATTTGGAATAAAAAAGGAATCAAATTTGGAACACCCATAAACCTCTATCGTTTGAGAAGCAAAGGAAGCTAAGACAAAAGTTAAAAAGACGATAGCTTTTTTTTTTATTGGTTTAAAAACAAAAGAATGATGGGGTTTTGAGATACCTTTTTTGGGTTTGTTGTCGTAGAGCTTTGGACCTTCGCTCATTGTTCGCAACACTTCTTTGATCTTCCTTCTGCTCTCTCACGTCACGTTTCTCAGCTGTTATGCCTATGCTTTGACTAATGACTGCTTGGTCAGCCACCAAATTAGGTTTCTTTTTTTTTTTTCAGATCACCAAATTTGTTTTAAGTGTTTCAAAAATAATTACACGTTTTTTTAAGTACTTAATAAGCAACTAACGTGAGCTGACGGGGTAAAGAGTTACTTCGAAGATTTTTAGGTGATGTTTACGAAGTTTTTTAATTAGAAATGATTAAATAAAAATAAAAATTAATAAATCAAAAGATATTAAATGTGTAAAAGTTTAAAAAATTTTGATAGATAGTTTTAAATAAATATTTTTAATAAAAATTTGATAAAATTTTTATTATTGAATAAATATAAATGTAAGTAACATTTTTAATAATTTTTTATGTATTATTAATTTTAATATTAAATTTTATTAATCTATTGATTTAAATTTTTTATTAAAAATTTTATTAAATTATTTTTAAGACAGGATGTGTGCTTGGTCAAGGATATATGATTGACAAACATCTCAAAAATTTTATTATACGTTTGGTTTGTCTATAAAAACTCATTTAGGTTCATTCAATTTAAATTTATTATCATACTATTAAAAGAATTTTTATTAATATTTTAATATTTTTAAATATATTTAAAATTAAATTAAAATTAAAATATATTTATCTAAAAAATATTTACATAAGCCAAATTTGAAGAGCTTCATTTAAGATTCAATTCAAATAAGACAATCGTAAGAGACTATTAATTTATTTTTACAAATTTATTGAGTAAATAAAATAAGTACCAAGTATTATATCTTTTAAATCAAAGTGATAGATTTGATTATAACCCTCTTCGTACAGTTTGATTGATGGGTGCCATAAAGTTTTGATTGAGATCGTAAACAATGTTGTTGCAATTTACATGACATGGTAAAACAAAGACAGTATCAAAAATCTGTTTCAAACAGTTTCCCCTACTATTAGAAATTCCCCCATTTAAAAGAAAAAAAAAATGAAATAGAAAAACCATCCCAAAACCGCAGAATAATACAGTAGCATAAATGATCAAGGTCATTTCAGCTTTGGCCCTGTGGACAGGGTATGGACACTGGGAACAAATGCAGCTATAGTTTTTTCGTTCATGGCTTCTTTGCTTAAATGGGGGGAAAAATGGATTATCAGAAAGTAAGTACAAAATTAATTTACAAGTTTCCGTCTATGCTTGCTCTTCCTGCTAGTCCTATAAGTTAAAGAGAGTTGAACCCAGAAAAATAGTAGTGACAGTCAAACAAAGTATGTCTACACTACACTGTACCCTCATAGTCTTACAATTTTCCCCTTCTGGGGATCTTTTCAGTAATCAGCTCCATGAGCGACCACCACCATAACCCCTACCACGGTCTCGAAAACCGCCGTGACCTGATTCATCAGATATACAAAATGAGTTTGGGCAAATATTGTATCAAGCTTAAGAACTTGTCCACGATATGATAGAAGTCTATTTATGCATAAAAATCAAGTAATGCATCGGGCATCTCTGTTTAGCTCCTACAGCTCCATTTTAAGTTTCTTAAATAATCACCAGCCATTATAGCAAAGTGCAGAAACAGAGCAATGATCACATTACACATGGCGGCAATGCCCTAGTGTTTTCTAATGGCATCTTCATGAATCAAGGATCTAGATATGCAAAAGCTATCAGAACTAACTAAAAATCACTCAATCCCATTGAATTTGCTGCCGCGATATGGTGCCAAGGTATGAATGTGCCAGTGTGTTCCAAAGAAATACAGTAAACTAACCTGATGGTGGAGGAGGTGCACCACGTCCCATCGCTGCCAATTCAGGACTGATCTTTTGTCCAGCTTCCTCAAGTATGGCAATAAGTTCTTTTGCAAATCTGGCATTTGCAGCTGTGAAGAATGTATAGGCAGTGCCTTTTGCGCCAGCCCTACCTGTTCGACCAATGCGATGGACATAATCCTCAAGGGATCCCGGGAAGTCATAATTGATTACATATTTCACATCTTTCACATCTGCAACCAACCAAATTTAATAAGTAATCCAGATATTGAGGCCAGTGGTTCTTTCCATCGATCCTAAGGCAAGCTGGATTACCCCAAACTACCATGTAACTTTCTAGTTTGTAAGAGGAATAATAATCGTACTAGCCAGAAAAAATGCAATAAGGAGTTGCAAGCAAAAATGCAGACGTTGGATAGCAACATAAATAGGAAACTAAGGATAATCCACAAAATTCAAGTAAAAAAATCACCATGATCACAATTTCATTAATTAAGGAGACTAGCCCAGGTTCACTAAAGCTACATTAAGGAAAAATGTTATGCTTTGCAAAACCAGGATAGAGCATATGCATGCTGTACAAGAGCATCATATGACAAAAGAATGGATGAATATTTGACCAGAGCTACCAAAGCATCAACAATAATGAAGATGAATGGCTAAAATAATAATTTGTTAGCATAAAAAGGAGCCACAGATATGGTAATAAGGCCTTAGACAAATAGCTGCTAAGTAGCAATAATTTAGAACTTCAACCATTTAAAAAGGTGGAGGACTTATCAACATTATTGGCTGGCAGTAAATCAGATGCAAGATTCTAGTAAAAGTTCCAAAAAGAAAGCGAAGTATTCAATAAAATATAAATATACAGAAGACAAAACAAATTCCAATGAGTGCCATGTGATACATCTTTTGACAAAATGTTCAGAAAGGAAACAGCATTCAAACATGTAACCATAAAAAGTTACAAACAGAAGACATCGATGATGGGAAAAATACTAACAGAAAAGCAGTTTCTGGTAAATTAAAATATAACTTAAAAAAGTATATCTTATAAAGTGTGAAAACTGCAGAGAAAATTATCATAACAATAAACAAGGCAAATCAGACAAAGAAGACACATTATGCATGAATCTTGGTCAATTACAAGAAAGAAGAAGTGTACTCGTTAGAAATAACAAAGAAGACACAAAGTAGAGATTTAAGAGATATACATACCTAAACCACGAGCTGCAACATCTGTTGCAGTCATTATAGGGCTCTTGCCAGCTTTAAACTCTGAGAGGACCCAATCCCTTTCTGCTTGACTTTTATCTCCGTGAATTGAAAGAGCAGGCCAACCATCCATGCGAAGTTGCCTGGTAATCTGGTCACAACCTTTCTTAGTATCCATGAAAATCAAAATTCTGCTGCCATCCATGATATCCTCCAGCAGCTTCACCAATCTGGAACATCAAGTACATCAAGGCAGATAAATAAACAGCCTATACACCCCCAATACTATTTGTTAATGGCAAAAGAATTAAAAAATCCATAAGAACAAAGTAAACTGCTCTCTACTTGTTATATTTCTGACTCTCTGTAACAATGTCTACATGTTGGCGAATCGCATGGTTAGCTTTCAAATCCGCAGATCCAATTATCACCTGCACAAAGACCAAGAAGACAATAAATTAAATAACAGAGCATCAGAAACAACAAAGTCAATAACAAAGACCCTTAAAAGTACTTATACCATCAGTTCAGATTACAAAATTTTAGAAGACATGAGCTGTACTAGGAAAAGACTAGAAATCCTCAAATTATAAAATAACATATAGAAAGCATTAAATAGAAAATCAAATGTCAAAACAAATAACAATAGATAACATAAGCCAATTAGTAAATATTACCAAAATTATGAATCACCTTACTTTGTATGGGTTGTAAAGAAACTGCCTTGCCAACAGCTCGACCTCTTTTGGCCAAGTTGCACTCCAATACAAAGTTTGACGGTCAGGACGAATCTGCATAAAGTATAACACAAAGGTACCACTCAGTGAAAGAGGGGGTGAACTAGAGGGAGAGACTGCCAATTCATTTCATTGCTTACACAAAAAAATAAAGGTTCTATACAGGTACAAATTCTTAGCTAAATCCTGGGTAAAAGTTTGAGACTTAAAATTATTTCCTCCTCTCATTTTGCGCTTTTAAATCATTTTTCTTCTGGCTGATGCAAGGCAGCATTGTATTGTAAACCAAGGCAAATAATCTAATTCTTTCATAAACTCTAAAAGCATTAGCATAGACATCTAAATTCAACACTCTTATCGTCCTCAAGAGTTAAATTTCACCACATCACTTGGATAATTAAAGCAACAATTATAACTAGCAAAGTCTCAGATCTCATTTCTTTGAAGTGCAATTCTTGAGTAGCATAAAAGAGGTTAACAAGAAAGATAAAGAAGAGAGGTGAGAAGAGAAACCATTAGCCCACAATGAACTCTTCTCATACATAAAAACATAATTCATGAAATACTTTCCATGAAATTGAGTTAAGAAATTGTAATTTTCAAGGGCATGGCAGAAGGAGAGAGTAAAACGAAAGAGAAAGGTGAGGGGAGAACAGAGACCTGAGATACAATTTTTTGTATCTGAGGCTCAAACCCCATATCTAACATCCGATCTGCCTCATCCAAGACCAAATAAGTAACTCTTCGCAAATTTGTGTGATGTGACTCCAACATATCTATTAACCTCCCTGGTGTAGCAATAACAATCTCAACACCTGTTCCAACAAAAAATATTAACACTTTAATTAGTGTAAGCAAGTAATAACCAAAGATAATTGTTTACTTAAACTACTAATAAACATGTTAGAAAAGCATCTTAAACTGAAAACTCATGTGTAAGAGACTACAAGCAGTTCAGAAACAACAAAATACAGTGACCCAAGCATATTACCACATACCTTTCTGGAGATCACGCACTTGAGGTCCCTTTGGAACCCCACCATATATGCACGTATTCTTGATCCTCGATGACGCACCAAACTTGGCAGCCTCTTGTTGTATTTGAACTGCAAGTTCACGTGTTGGAGCTAATACTAGTACAATTGGGCCATCTCCAGGAGCTGAAAATATATACAAAAAGACCAAGAATTATTCCTTCCCAATTACTAAAAACATGCTGATGAAAGTAAATTAATTCCAAGGTAACATTTTACCTAAAATTGGCTGTGCATTGACATGGACAATTGCAGGCAATAAATAGGCAAGAGTCTTTCCTGATCCAGTTTCAGCAATACCTATGAGATCACGGCCCTTCAAAGCCATTGGCCAGCCTTGAGCTTGGATGGCTGTTGGTTCAACAAAGCCAGCTTTTGTGATTTCTTGCAATACATAGTCTGGATTCAAGAAAAGAACATCAATTATCACAACAGAAGAGTCTATGACGAGATAAGAAATACTCAAACACTAATAAATAAAATAATTTTCTAAGTTATACCCAAAATAATTCGAAAGCAAAAACTTCCTTAACCACCAAAACCATAATCATTTTACTATGACATGAAGTATATATGCAAACCACAAAATACTCTTTAGACTGATTAACAGTTCAAAAGATGGCAGCAGTAAAATCACCAGCGATTTAACATATAGAAACAACATGAGCATATCAGCAAAGATATAGGAAATTGAAGATTTGGGTGAGCCTATTTCAATGCCTAAAGGAGTACATCCACAAACGCAATAGATGGTCACTTCCCTGTGAGCATTTGATAACTACTAGTAAAAAATAAGATGACATAAAAATCTTCTATGAGCCTCCTTCAAAAGAAAACTTCCATTAAGCTGCTTGTTAGCAGTAACTCTACTAAGACATCATTTAGAAAAGTTAACAAAAAACAAACAGTAACAAAAAAGTTAGCGAAAACAGACAAACAGACCATTCTGCTTCACTTTCTGTAGACAGACAAACAAAAACTCAATGAAAACAAAATGACAAACAAAAAGCGTAGGAAAAGAAAGGATACTCAAAGGACAGAAAGGCTGGACTTATTAAAAGAACCAACAAAAATTACCTGGAAATCCCACGTCGCGGAAACTCTTCACAGGCTTTGGAACATCGCGACCTTCAACAGTAATTTCCTTCTGCTGCCTATACTCCTCCACCTCCATCTCCGACATTGCCCCCACCAATAGTGACTCAACATACAAATTCTTCTCAAAAGGAGTCAACCCATCCAAATCCAACTTCCTAAGGGGTTCAGCACTATCATAATCCCTTCTGCTTGATGAGGACCGCACTGAACCACCAAATGCTGAAGACCCACCAAAACCTGAGTCACTATACCAAAACATCAAATTAACCAAACAGAAACTTCAAACTAATACCAATAAATAGATAACAGAAACTTCATAGAACTACAAACTTAGATAGGAGATGTTGCCAATGGTCCAATGCCCCATTGTGATAAAATTACTGAAAAACCACTATGTTTGAACTTAAATTCGATTTGAGAGCAATGGGCAGCTAAAATAGCATAAAATTCATTCAAATATTTAACAGAACCAAATTCGATCAAACTTTATCAGTCTTCAGTTTTAAGACACGCTAAAGTAAAGAAACGAAAAACCCAGATGAAAAACACAGCTAAAACTAAAAATAAACATCACTTTTTCAGTTCTATTTCACTAATTTTGGAACAAAAAAAGCAATAAAATGAACGAATGAATCTAGATAAAAAAAATCAAAACCCAGAATAATAAATGAACTTGAACATATAAAAAAAATGCAAAGTACATTAAAATTTGAGTAGTTACCTACTACGGTGGCGATAGGAGGTGGGATCGCCGGAGCGGTTATCATATCGACTCATTTTCTCTGCTGTTGCCGGTGAGATTATCAAAAGCTAGTGAATCTTAATGTAACCAAAAATAATTAGTAGTTTGTGCTTCTAATTAATGGTTTGGGATTTTAAGTGTGAGGATTTTTATTCAAGTGGAGAATTTTCTTTTTTCTTCAATTCGAAGGAGGAAATAAACAAAGTAAAATTTAAAAAAAAAAAATTCTTTCCCTCTCCGGCTGAAGCGTGTTGTACTTCTGGGCCTCTGGCCTTGTGTTTTTTTCATATGCTTCCCTTACTGTCATGGCCTTTTAACCTCATGCTGTAAGCTGTTGTAGTGTATATTTTCTATTTTCCTTTTTAGGAATAATTTTTCATTTGAATTTCGGGTTTTTTTTTTTTATTTTCTTCAATTTTGTTTTAACCAACAGCTTTTTTTTTTCGGTTGAAAGAAAATCGAAGGAAATAAATCACTCCTACTGTTTAAGGCGTAGATGTATTAAAGTAGATAGTTTAATCGGTATTCAATGAATTTTAATTTAATTTAATTTTTTAAGATCAATTTTTTTTAATTGAATATCAAGTCTAATAATAAAAAAAATTAAAATCAAATTTTAAATAAATTTAATTTTATCTAACTTGATAAATATTATATTTTAAAAATAATATTTTATTAATTTAAAATCAAATTTAATTAAATATAATTTTATATAATGCAAATTTGAATATTAAAAATTTAAAAAAATCATATCAAATTAAGTTCGAAACAAATAAAAATCGACTCGGTAAGTATTGTTACCTTTCATAAATATATAATTTTTTTCTCTCATTTTCTGTATTGCATTATGAATAGTATCAACAAATAAAAATATCAATTATTCACAAAATAAAAATAATAATTGGTCGACTTTAAATGTGTCATATGTATTTATTTAATTGGATAATTAACTATACCATATTATCTAACATGTCAACTCATTTTTATTTTGTCACGTGTCTATTTTTCATTGATGGATATATTTATGGCATAAACATCAACTATAGCATTTGAGATTCTTAATTAAAAATTATATTTTTAAAGTAAGATTTACCGTTTAAAAAAAGAAGATCGTACAGGCAAAATTCCAAACAAAGTGTCTATCGTACATGTAAGTCAAATTTTGAGTGGACAAAGCCCGTTAAACCCTTCTTATAAACACGGTCAAAATCCCTTCGCTCGCTGGCTCGCTCTTCCAACGAACGGGGTAAAATGGCAGTTCTAACATGGACGCCATCTCCAACGGCAGTGCCAATGGCGGTCAGAGCTTCATGGGACACCCAACAAAGACCCTCTTACAACCCCAACGCTCCACGAAAGCTGAAACCCAACCCCAACCCCAACCTTAAACCCTCACCCACCGTCACCCTCTCCACTCGAACCGACCCATCGGTTTTCGACATCCTCAAGCGTCCCACTCAAGGTAATCCCCATTAACCCCTCCTTGTTGCTCGGTTTAATTCCCAATCTATTACTAGTAGTCATCGTATTTTGTTTCCTTATGATAATTGTAGAAGCAACGCCCGTAAAGGAAGATTTTGATGATTCTTATATGGGATACGAACGATGGTTACCCAACCCACCAAAAGTAGAGAAGCCCCGATCAGTTTTCAATGCTGCAACATTAGCTTATATTGGTGATTGTATTTATGAGGTTGTTTTATACACTTTCAGTATGTTAGTTCAGTAATTTGATACTACTCATTTTCTTAGTTACTTGGCAAAAACCTATGAACATGTTTCTGTGTTGTTTTTAAACTCCATTGTCGATGTATAGGATGACATAATTTTAATTGTAAAGTTTGATTACGCGTTTGTGCATGTTTTAGTTGTAATGTTTCTTGTAATCTGCAGTTATATGCCCGTAGACATTTTTTGTTTCCTCCGCTAAGTATTGAAGAATATAATGATCGTGTGACATCAGTAGTACGCTGTGAGGCACAAGTATGATGTTTTCCTTAGTATATGTTAATGTTTAAGGAGTATTTTGGTTATCTGTGCATGTTAATATTTTAAAGTTTATTTTGCTTCTTTTAGGATGCATTGCTCCAGGAACTTCTTAATGATAGCTTCTTATCAAACAATGAAAGGTTAGTTGAAATTCGTTTCATACTTGTATCCTTCTTTCCAATATATCTTTGTTTGCTTGTATGTGCGCACCCACAAATCCATCCTGCTTCTTTAAAAAGTTTAGGATTTTAGACTTTGAGATTTCAAGTTGCATTCAAGCTGCTCAATAACTAATAAATTGATAATAAATGAAAACGAAAGAACAGCTCTAGTTGCTTGATTACTGGTTAGAGTAGATGAGATTGGTTGGTGTATACATCAAATCTTTTTGGCTTAAAAAGTGATCAAAGCTTGATAAGTTGTCTGGTCAGAACCTCTATAAGCTATGTGGCATTGAGAAGTAGATTCATTTCCTGAGGGTGTTTATTGAGTAATGTGGTTTTTTAAGAGTACAATATATGCAAGTAAATCTACCTCAGATAGGATTGGTTTTTTCTAAAGCTAGTAATGTAGGGATAGAAAATGATTGGTTGAATGTCTTCTAGAAAAGTCAAAAATTTGCAATGCCTCCTACAAGTGACTAATGATAAACATTCTTATGACTACTGGGTTTTTTTGTAGGATTTTGTTAACTAGTGCGCCGAGGACACTCTTTAAGGTTACTATATTAGGAAAGTATCTACTTTCAATGCAGTGCAACTATCACAATCACTATCAATTACTGCATTTAATACAAAGATATTACTATAAAGAGTATGCTAATTAACCTTAAAGAGTGCTCTAGGGGCACTCGTTAGCAAAATCCATTTTTATATAATAAAACCCTCATTAGATCAATTATTTCATTCTTTGTTGAGTTATTCAAGAAAGCAATATTCTGGATAATCTCAGATAATAATATGTTTTAATACAACGTTTATATAAGTTGTATGATTAGGAGATCACATATCAAGTAAAGGGTGCCCTAGTAAGCTCAAGAGGAAACTCTTCAAAGGCATGATGGATAGTTAAGACTTAAGAGATAAAAATCCTTTATTTGTTTCCTGTACATTCTAAATGGCGATAAGACCAGAAGAAGGCTTGACATTTAAGATGGTTAAGTGATTCCATGATATGTACAATGTGTAGTAATGACATGACTAGAAGTCTAGAAGCAATAATAAACAGTGATTCAAATAGGTATAACAACCAACTGATATATTGCACAAGGAAAGGCATCAAGAAACAGGATTGGATCTCATGTCAGCACAGATCTAGAGATTCAAAATCTTATGTTTGCTCAGTCTTTTGAATGTCATTATGCAAAACCTCTTATAAATATATTTGAAAACTGGCATTTGGTCATTTTTACTGCAGGGATGTTCTTCGATGGGGAAAGAATATTAGTTCAACTAAGACACGGACCAAAAAGCGCACTGGTGCAGCAGTTTATAATAGAGCATCTTCACTTGAGACGCTAGTCAGTACCCTTTTTCATTGTGTTTCCTCTGAAATAGTATTTGGTTTGTTTAGTTATTTTTAGTTTTGGTGAAGGGTACTTGATATCATTTTTTGGAGGAAAGTTGTGGCTGCCCCTGGGCTATGACTTCGTCCAAAGTGTTTGGTTCTAAAAAATCACATTCTGTGTTCAGCTCGTTAAAGATTTCTTTTGGAACTTTCATTGTATTCACATGGAAATCCAGGATCTCCTTGTGGTGATAAAGGATAAGATCATGTTTCATCTGTTATATCTAGAGATTTGATATAATTATACCACTCAGTTTATACAATGTTGTTAAAACAGTTTTCCATAGAAATGATAGTTATCTATGAGATTTCATTTACTACCAATGGGGTATCTGATTCTCCCCAATTCATGCTAGGATTACTATACTATAAATACATCGAGTTTTGCCATTGTTATTTGTCGTGCAAGGTCATGTGTGGTATCTACTAGATAATTATTCATTTTGTTATGATATTTAATATTTAGATTTAATATGTTCAAAAGAAGTCATGAGTCATAATTCAAGAACCTTTTCTCTTGATTTAAGTTGTTAATCATGCATTTTGTAGATTGGTTATCTCTACCTTACAAATGTGAATCGCTTGGAAAAACTCATGGCAAAGCTCGGATTTTCCACTGGAGCATCTACAGAAATGATATTGAAGGAAGTAAATGGTAAGTAAAAGTTAAGCAAGAATGCAAAAACAGCTGTTTGTTCTCTCAAGCTTATATGTGTTTATCTCTCGATAATGTTGCTTTTGTTCTCTCAAGCTTACGTGTTTATCTCTCAATAATGTTGCTTTCTCTCAACAAATGTTAGTCTCTAGTTTAAGGTTTAGGGGGGAAGGTTTATGTAACAGCCTACATGTTGCATGTGCGGTGTAAAATTATTGGGAAGTTAGACGACAGAAAGTAGTCCTTTTCTGTTCTAATTCTTGATTGCTTACTTGCAACTTTTGTTACCCATTGCATGTTGTAACAAAATAGCCCTTTTACAAAGCAAAACGAAAGCCATGAATATTGGATCATGAAAATGATAAAAGTTGCTTTTGCATTTCTCAAAGATGGATCATTTCGATATCAAACTGACTGCAATTTTATTGAGTTCTCTCAAGTTGCAACTCAATCTTCTTATCTTTTCAGTTTCAACTCTCTCTTCTTATCTTTTCACTGTCATCTGATTTGTTGATTATCTTTTTTCTTCTTGTAAACAGGTGCAAAACCAGTACAGTAGTTAAGGATGGTATTGAACACTTTTTGTTTCCTTTAAGCAGGCAGCTCAAGTCAACTACAGAAATTAAGAACCGCCGCATCATTTATTTCCCTCTAGGTATTGGCCCTTGAAAAGGCTCTTGTATAATTTTCAAACAACATATTTGTAGGGTTTTGCCATTTGCCTTTGTATCTAGTAGTTGTTTGTATCAATTTTCACTTGCGAAAGTGAACATGCATAAAACCAATCATACAAAGAACCATATAAAAGCATGAGACGTGAGTAATTGTTTCTACAAAGGAGTGTTCAGAGTTTTCTGCCATGTAAAACTGAAAAAGTTGGCACAAATGGATGCCGGGAAGCTCATCCAAAACAGTTCTCATGGCTCACCACTATATATTTAGGCAGCCTATGCTAATAATCCATGTGTAACCCAACATTAAATTGTGCTAATTTCAACTCAAAAATCGAAATTCCTTTTTTTTTTTATTGGCAATATTATGGTCAACGTTGGCAAGTGCCAAATCATGTTTATACCTTATATTTCTTACGGAGAAAGGAGATACATAGCTAATAATTTTTAAAAAATTTTAATATATTTTAATGGATATATATTATTTTACTAAATTCATTTATGAAGTCTAAAAACCCAACTGGCAATGCATAAAATAGTTTTTATAATTTTTATTGTTACATTATTCAAGACAACTAGAATGCTAGCGATAGTCGAAACAACCGTCGTGTTTCGATACCCGAATCAAGACTAAGCCACGTCTTCTAACTTTTTCAAATTCAAAACCGGTAACTTACAATTATAAGTAGCCTTACTTCACTTTAAAAAAAAAGTAAAAATATTTAATTTTCTGAAGAAAAGGACAAAAATGCTTTTGTAACCTTTCAAGTCGGTATAGTGCCTTGTACCAAATTACCAATCCACCAACCTCCAAAAAAAAAAAATCATTACTTATTGCTTCCATGTGAAAACAACTTCTATTTAAGAGGGTTTGGTCTCGATTAAAATGCTTCGTACAAAAAAGTAGGGATGGGTTGTAGACGAATTAAAATGCTTTACTCTGTTTCGAAATATAAATAATATATTTTATTATTTATTAATATATTATTTATATTTCGAAACAGAGTAAAGCATTTTAATTCGTCTACAAACCATCCCTACTTTTTTGTACGAAGCATTTTAATCGGGACCAAACCCTCTTAAATATCATATTATATATAATAAAAACATAATTTATATTAAAAAATAATATTCATTCTCCCGTTTAAATTTATATTAATATAAGATATGTGTTTGTCTAAGTTAAATTCAATCTCCCAAGCTTGTAATGTTTTTTCAATTTTTTTAGATTACGTTTTAAAAAAAAAAAAACTTGACAACATTTTATTTACAATTATTTTTATAATAATTTTACAAATATATAGTTACTACAAAAAATTATGTAAACTTCACCGTATTATAGAAGTATTTTCATATATTATTTTCATAGATCATAGATAATTTAATTCATAATTATGCATGATATTTTTTTATAATAATTTAAAATTCATTTATAATTTTAATAAAAACATTTTTTGTGAGTGATTGATTAAATAGAAGTATTGAATTTTTATTATAATTTTTAAATGAAAAATAATTAATAGGCATAGATTTTGGTTGAGATCTTGTTTTAAATACCATAAACTTTCTATTCCAATCCCTTGTTGCAAAATTTAATTAAAAAATTATTTATTATAAGTTATCTTGAAGATGTTTCTTTTTATTTTTGTAAAATAAGTGTACTTTAATAATGTACTAATATTTTTCTATTATTTGATTCATTTGTTTTTTACATTTTAAGTGAGGTATTGTTTGATAAATTAAAATTTTGAGAATTAAATTTATAGTTTGAAAATTTTTAAGTATAAAATTTGTGATAGTTTGTAGGTTTTGTTGAGTTTTTTTAAGTTTCACTTGCATGGTTTTATTTAATTATTTATCTTGAATTTATGGATTATTGAATATTTTATTAAAAACATATTTTTTAGTGATTAAAAAATATCTTGAATGAGAAAATATCAATAATATTATATTTAGTTTTTTGTGTAATAAAAAAATTAAAAAAAATAATTGAGTTGCCATTTTATTAAAAAAAATGTTAAAATAAAACTAAACATCATAAGATAAAAGTTTTTGGGTTAAAAAAAAAAAATTGTAGCCAACATAGCATAATAAGGGCATTTTAGTCTTTATACAAAATTTTGAGGAGTAAGCACAAGAACCAACACCCGCCAACAAGTTTTGAGCCTAAAAAACTAGATGACGTAGTTTCTTCTATGCTCGTGTGTCAAAAGGCAATGGTTCAAACAAGTGTTCCTAGCATTCCTCTTCAGGACAATAGAATTATTTTTGGAGTTAAGGTGTGACTGTACGTGACAGAAAATTTGTTATCCTGATTTATCAACATATTTTCTTAATATTCTCGAGAAAATATTATTATTATTATTATTATTATTATTATTTTTGCTTTCTGGTCAAACACAACATCTAATTATTCTAATTCTAATCCAACTACTCTAAATATCCTACAAAAGTTGCATCAAGGAGTCTTCAGAAACATTGGTTAGGCTGATAATATTAAGAGGTTGCTACTTAGTCAACTGTTGCATAATGTCAAACCTATTATATTGGTCAAACCTTTGATTCTTCATGCTGAAGTGATCATGGCCGCCTGCAATCCAGTTTATGGAAATAAAAAAAGAATAAGAAAGTTCCTTTTAATACTTATTAATCTATAGAAGAAAAAGCGTGTTATGAATTTCTGGAACTTTAGAAAAAGCCAAGGAACTGATAAACCGACACATTTGTCAACGATCATCTAGATATAGTTTACTAGTCATAGCAATATTGCTGAAAAAGATTCATTCTGGTGGAGCCACATTTGCCGCTGTTAAAGCTCTCATCTGCAAATTCTTTCTTTCTTGAGTTTTTTTTTAAGTGTTTCAAGAATCTCATCAGGCATTCAACTTATTGTAAAATACCTGGTCTTTCTAAACAAAAATTTTGTTTTTTTTAGTGTTAATATAATTACGAATAATATTTAATGTAATACTTGAACCTTAAAAATTTTTTCATGTGTATTTGAATTATGAACATATTAATTACTTGAAAAGTTATTTGTCTATCACATATTATCATTTAAAACTTGTCACATTAGAATGAGCATCACATTAGTTATAGATTCATAATTTAAGTATCATATTAAATATTTTTAAAATTCAAGTATCATATTAAACATTTTATTATAATTTAAGAATCATTCATGACATTAATCATGTTTTTTTTACAAATGAGGTCATAGTCAAATAGTTTAATAAAAGAAAGGGACGCATGTGCAGGTTTAAACCTAGAAATTATTGTATGTAGAGATGGCAAAAGATCGGATTATGACGAATTTTTGCTTACCCCGAACTTGATTCGACTTTATACACATAATATCTGAACTCAACCTGATCCAATGATTTTTTTATTTTTTATACTCGAATCCTACCTAACTCGATTTGATATTATATAAATCGTATCCGATCCAAAATTAATAAAATATTATTTTTTACATATAAAATATTATTTTTTAATATAAATATAAAATTAATTTTTTTAAACAAATATAAAATTATATATAATTAAAAAATAATTATATATATATCGGGTCGAATTGGAACAAGTTTGCCTAAAACCCAATCTTATCCAATCCAAACTTTGTTTAACTATAGCCTAACTCGAAACCCAATTTAATAAAAAAAAAAAATCGACTGTAAGAAGTTGGGTCGGATTAAAACCTGTCGAAGACTAGTTAAGTTGTCATTTTTAATTGTGTGTCACTTTTTAAAGATAATTAGATGAATGAGATCAATTTTTTATTTACTGGAATACACTTACAATATCTTTGCCAAGTAATATCCCTTGTTAAATTAAACAACTCCATAGTTATCCATGCATCATGCATGTTTACCCTATCTGCCACTAAACTTTACAATTAATTAATTCCTTACAGCCATTGAAATTTGCATGTCTTTAGAAGCTAATTTGTTGCACAAACTCATCAAAGCATATAGTGTCAGCATTGCTTTTTTTTTTTCCCCATTTTTATCTTAAACTGTGTTAATTAGGTGTAGTTCAACTCGTTGAATGTGTTTCCACTAAATCGACTTGAATGGGGAAAAAATACTAGATGAAGGAGCTCACTAATTTAAAAGATAACGCATAAGGGCATAAGGTATTGTTTAATTTGTTCTATTATATATAATAATTCCCACTACTACTCCTGCATGATGGTTGGCGAATGAGTGGGTTTTTAGCTGACCCATTAAAGAATTATCTGATCACCGCCACCCACATTTGAAAATTTCATGTCAACTTGCTTGCACGGTGAACAAATTGGATCAGAAAAACTGAAAAGGTCAGTCCCTTAAACCTATCAGCTCCTAGGTCAAACCTGAAATTTTCCTATAAATAACAGCTTCATGGTCCTAAGCTTGAACAAGCAAACAAGCAAACAAGCTGATTACAATGTCTTCTTCAAGTTTTGCCTCCCTTCTTTATCTGTTAGCCTTTGTTTTCCTTCTCCAAACAGCTTTTGGAGCTGACCCTCTCTTCCATTTTTGTTCAAACTCAGGGAATTTCTCTGCCATTGACCCTTATGAAGCAAACTTAAACAAGCTCACTGCTTACCTCTCCATTCAAGCTCCTCCTTCAGGTTTTGGGCTTGGTACCATAGGCGAGATGCCAAACCAAGCATATGGCCTTGCCCTTTGCAGAGGCGACGTGTCAACACCAGATTGCAAAACCTGTGTTGTTGAAGCAGGCAGTGAAATCCGGAAACGCTGCCCTTACAACAAAGGTGCAATTATCTGGTATGATTACTGTCTTTTGAAGTATTCAAACAATGAATTCTTTGGCCAGATCGATAGACAAAACACGTTCTACATGTGGAACTTGAAGGTTGTGAGTGACCCCCAGTCATTCAATCAGAAGACTAAGGAACTGCTGAGTCAATTGGCCAATGAAGCTTATGCAACTCCAAAACTGTATGCCACTGGAGAGATGGAACTCTACGGATCACAGAAACTTTATGGATTGACTCAGTGCACGAGAGACCTTTCCAGCAGTGACTGTAAGAAGTGCCTTGACGATATAATTGGTGATCTTCCAAGCTGCTGTGATGGAAAAGAAGGAGGTAGAGTTGTTAGCGGCAGCTGTAACTTCAGATATGAAATATACCCTTTTGTTAATGCTTAAACCTTTGTTAAAAAAAAAAAACTAGCAGAACACAAGTACTATGAATAAATAATGTTTGCAACATTAAATATCATATATTAGTATGGGAATAGGTTATTTCCCATCATTGTAAGCTTCATGTTTCATCACTGAGTAATACTAAATAAAACTTTTGTTGCATGCATAAATATATTATATAATACTTGTTATCTTTATATATCCTTCTGAGAATGATGGAAGCAGAACAGAAGTTTTTCTTGGAGATGAATGGCATTGTCTATGCACATCTGAGCATTTTATTCAATAGTTTTCAAATCCTTCCATCCCTTAATTTAAAAAAAAAAAAAAAAGGAAAACCCTTTATACAGCTTCTTACTTATAATTCCTCATATCAAATTTTGTTAATTTCCTTTGAAAACTATGCCATTTTTTTTACAAAGAAATGAGTTGATTGTTAGAGAGCTAATAAAACTTGACATGCGTATGTTTTATTAAGTTTTACTGTTAAGATATTGAATAATGTAGAGTATAAGGAGATCATCAAGGTTGCAACCTATGCGTACATGAATAATTTGTTAAGTATTCAACTTAAAATTAAATAATTATAAGTGAAAATATTCAACTTGAATATAAAATTATCGCAAATTTAATATTTAACAAATTTGAAATAACGTTCATCACTTGTATATGAAAACAAAAACCTATCATATGATAAACTTAAAATGTATAACGAATAACAAGCAAGAATAACAAAAAAAAAAAATTTGAGCTCCGATATCATACTAAAATATTTAATTTAAAATCAATTAATTATAAATAAAAAAATCAAACTTGAATACAAAATCACATTAAATAGTTAATATTTAACATATTTGAGATAATATTATTTTGATTATCTTTTTACGTAAAATCAAATTATTTGTTTAAATCTCTGCAATCAATTAAAAATTAAATAATCGAATCAATTCAATGATAAGCATATAAGTGCAAGAAACTTAATTTAAAGAGAGAGAGAGAAAAAGAGTAAGAGAGGAATGGCCTATAAGAAATTATTTAATTTATTCTTAGTTTTTAAATTTTATAAATAGAGTTAGTAAGATGATACATAATAATTTAGTATATTAAAAAAAAATTTTAAAAAATTAATAATGTGTTAATTTTTTAACCCCACATATATATATATGTATATATTATTAGAAGAGATCTCAATATTATAATTTTCTCTTCTCTCGTCATATCGAAATTCTAGTGCACATGTTCAGATGTCCATGAATAGCAGTGCACGTTGAACCTTGTAAAAGTGAAATTTTGACCGTTAAACACAAAGGGATAGCTTTATTTTCCACTATTGATTAATGTTCAGGAGTTACGAATTAGGTGGATGCAAATTGAGGAAGCCGAAAGCTAGCCCCAAATGTTGACACACTTTCTTGTCCACACAAACAAAGTGTTGTATTGTCTTTGACAGAGTAAAGTCAAAACCTTCTAGCTCCCTTCTTGCCATAATTGATGGATGAAAACTTTGTCGCTTTGCATGCATGATGTAATTGATACTTCAAATTTTTTATATAATTATTTTAAAAAATAATATTTAAATTTCAACATGTGTAACTTAATTAATATTTAATATTATTAAATTAGCTTTTAATATTATTAAACTAACATTTAATATTGGCGTATTGATATCATTTAAAGTTTAATATGATCAATTTAATGTTAATATTTAATTTTTATATTAAATTATTATGAAATTTTATCCTTTTTTTATATATTAACAATTTTATAATAAATTATAAAGGTAAAATGATCTTTTGAATTTATTTTTTTCCATATTATTTGAACTAACCAAACATATTAATACTAATTCATTCTCTATTCTATTTTAATGAACTAAACTTAATAATACATATTTTAATATATTCCTCTTATTTTCTATTCTTAGAGAATATCAATTTCATTCCGCAAACGAAATGAGGTATATAAAAAAAAATAACTTGACCCATGATATGTCCTTAGAATAAGTGAAGCAAAAAATTTTAAAATTTTAAAAAACTATTTATTAAATACTAAAAATAGAAAATAAAAAAATAGCAAATACACAGCATACTTTTAATATTAAATATATCTCATAAAAAATAAATTTAAAATCATGAAAAAAAATAAAAAAAAAAGTTTATATAAAATGGGTCCTACTTTAAAAATAAAATTTGTAAAAATATTTATTAAATATTAAAAAATTTAACAAAGTTTGCAAAGTACTTTATATAAACACTTGGATAATACACATATTTCAATATAGATGGTGAGATAACTATTCCTATTCCTCAAATTTTAAGTCATTTTTATGAGATAAATGCTAATTTGGGTTACCTTATCAATTTAATATTTAAGTCAAATCAGCGACAGCCAACAATTGCTTAGTTCATGAGTAATTAAAAAAAAAATTATAGCATATTTAAATTCGAATTCAGGCAACTCTAACTCCACTCATAAAAAAAAAGTCAAATTAACAATTTAAATGCTATATACCTATATATATTAAAAAATAGTAAAATAAAACGCACAATAATTAATATATATAGTTTAAAGTTAGAATCTTTATATTATTAACATAAATTCCCCTAGCATGAAAGTCCACCCATCTGACTTGGACAAAATTTTGAATGGATATGAACAAATAAATAAATACCAACACAAATATCCTTGTCACATTTGACTCTTCAATGGTTTCCAAAGTTGGGTTTTTTTAATATCAAACTAATTAAATCCATAAATACTAATCTATGTAAAGAATTTTCAAAGGTAAAAAATATGAGGTGTTGGATGATGTTATTTTATTAATAATTCATGCAAACAAACAAATAATGGATCAGTCTCCAAAGTTACACACCACCAGAGCTTAAGATTCCATCTTGTAAGTTTTGATGTTAGAATCTTATATGGAATGTATTGACATTTTATGAGAAATATTGAGAATCAAATTTTAGGGTAAGATGTCGGATAAACTTCTCTTTTTTTTTTTTTTTTGAACTTTTTGTTAATTTGGGCTTTTATAATCATTTTTTTCTTTTTTTTTAAATGTAATATTATACTCTATATATATTGTTTATTTGATGTTTTAGTATCAACTTTTATATAATTTAATTTATCTCTTTATTAAGCTTATTTAAGTGATTTATTTGCAAAAATTTATGCTCATTTTATATTAATTAAATTTTAATTTAAGATCATTAGATTAGTGGACTTTTTTTGTCAAATTTATTTGTAAGTTTATAAAAAATCAAAATTAAAATTACCCTAATTACATGTAATTGATATTTATTTTCAATAACTCAAGCAGCACAAAAAAGTGAAAAAATTATACCTTTATTATCTTGCACAAGTTTTGGATTCACAATGGAAAACTATACCTGACCTGGGCTTATAAGCCCAACAATTCGGAAGCCACTGATGAAGCCCACCAACTCCAATAATATCTGGGCCATCCGATTCATCGTTGTGAAGTTTTGATAATAAGCAATAAAAGTTTCATATAATGCTGCAAATTATCATATTACAGGAATCATTAATTTTAATATATACTTTTACGGCAAAATTTAGCATGCAATAGCTATTGCAACATAAACTTTTTACGTTGCAAACAAAAATTTTAGTAAAAAAATATAAATTGTTGCAATGTGCTAAAAATAACATAGTGTTGTAAAAATATTTATAACAATTGTTACAAGAATCATCATATTCATACTGCCAAACGAGTCCTTAGTCATTATTACTTAATTCAGCTCTCCCTTAGCCTTCTGAATAGTTTTCTAGTGTTTTAAAGATGAAGTCAAACTGCATGTTCATAAGTATCTAGAGCTGAGGACAAACAATTCTTATGGAATAGAGATGAAGGAATGGATATGTTCATGGGGAAATTTCTGGTTAGCAGCAGCTCTAAGGGTTATTCCCCAATTTGCATTCTCAAAGAACGTTAGCAGCTGAGTGCATGTATGATGGGCCATAAATATAGAGAAAAGCCAATTGGAGGAATGCAAATTCAGTGGCTATTTTCTATGGAAGGCCATTGACAAACAGATGCACAGCACAAACAAAAACAAATTCCCAGCTTTTTCTCTGCCAGTAAAGTTTGCCCACAAATACATGTGTTTGTTCGGATTATGTAGGACCAACTTCTGCACTCGTGAAAGGGTCCTGTTCAGTTTGTGGCAATCCAATCTCCAAGGCTTATGATCAGTCTCAAATTGGTTTTAGGATAGATACCCGTTTTAAAATCCAAGTCTTTTTTTTTTTTTTAATTTACAAGCACAAGTTAAAATCATCATAATCAAATATTAAATTATTGAATAATCGAAATAATTGAATAAATTAAGTAACAAAGTAGAACATAACAAAATAAATTTAACTAAATCTACACACAATAAGACTTAAACCAATAACTTCAGAATTTTAATTCAATTTTTATATTTAAAAAATCACTCTTCTTATCAAAACTAATGAATAATCTTATCTTATATATAATTAATTAAAATACAAAGTCATATATATGGCGTTCATAAGAGAAACCCCAAATCATATAGAAACTAATATAATGATTCAGAAAAAAAAAATCAAATCCAAATAAAAATTGAACTCACCCATTGATCGTGTCAAAAGAAATTCTTTGCACGCCAATTTTATGACCATTAAATATCTTTCTTTGATCACCAAAAAAAAAATGTTACTTTTTTTTTTTTGTTTTGCTTATGAAAAATGTTGAATTTGCACTCTTCTACATATTTATCTTTAAAGCTAAATGTCTTGCTCATGTTATGCTTAAAACTAAATTTTCAAAATTAATAAAACAAAATTTTTGATCAATTTTAGTTTTGTATCTACTTGAGAAAAGCTTGTAGAAATTTAACCTATGCACTTGATTATTTGTTCATATAGCTTAGCACTAATCATGGATTGCGTATAATCTATAACCATATTTTAAATGTAATATTCTATATATTAATTTGTTAATCTCAAAAAATTCAGTATTGCTACCTTATATGCTCAGCACATAGAAAAGACAATGAAGGCTCCCTACTAAAAGGATAGCTGCAAAAGCGCTTATCACATAGCGAAAAAGGTGGGCATTGTTTTAGAAATGGTGATTGGGCAGGAAGCAAAAGCAATTGCTCTTTACAATGATAAGATATTGAGTTGTCATCCTCATCATCATCATCATCTTCCAATTAAATGGAACTAATTGTTCAAGTCATAAGGAAGAGAGTA